TTTTCCTCTCGCAGCTCCTCTGCCTGGTCTCTCCTGTCCCTTTCACCTAGCAGCGCATTGAACTGTGCTGCGCTGTTTAACTCCACTCTCATTGGCTGTTCTGCCTTAGGTCCCGCCTTCTCTCTTTCTGATTGGCTGTTTTCTAGTCCGCTGTGCTTGGAGCACAACATTGAAAATTTATTCACACTAGAATGCAGCGGTTACTACAATTAATATTAGACTATGAAACTAGTCCCAATAAAAAAAATGAATATCATGAACACTAAAAAACAAAAACCTTTTTTTTTCTTTTATAAAACGAAATATTCTGAGTCAGCCAGGAGTTCTGAAGACACAAAATGGGCAAATCAAGGCTGTAAGCCATCAACATTTCTGATTCTTAGCCACAGCCACCTAAAAAAGAAAATGTGACGGTTTCCTTTTTACCAATATTTAGTTGCTGTTACTGGTTTCATTTTTTTGATGACTCTGAGGAAGTTCAGGTATAATTATTAGCAGGTGTTATTTCTCTTATAGAGGAAAACAACAAGAAATGGCAGCTAAACATCTGCTGTTTATCGTTTAAAAAGCATAATTAGGGTTCCAAATAATAATAATAATTTAATTGACTATTTATACTTCTAGAAATAGGATAAAGAGAAGAACAAACAGATGAAGAATATTAACATTGATTTTATCTTACATAGATTTCCACACAGTCTATAAGTAAATTAGTACAAACATTAATGTCTGGTAAAAATGCTGGAATCTGACTGTTTATTTTGGATATTATTAAATTACAGATAAGATAGTGTTATATTGTCTTTTATAATTGTTAAAAGTGATTTTATATTTTAATACTCTTAGGCTCATTCTCAGTGTTGTGTTTGTAGATGATGCCACTAAAAAGAAAATATACATAAGGAGCTATTTATACAGTCAGACAGTAGCAATATAGGACAATGATAAAAGGTTGTGTTACATTTAATCCTTTACTATTAAAAATGCACTTATACATTATATGATTATAGGAAACACAGATATCCAGTAATAATGGTGCAGGGCAGCTTGTAGGTGAAGCAGCTGCCATTCAGTGCTTCAGGTGATGTCTAAATAAACCAGGTGAAACTAAAATATTTCCACATGAGGAGTTCTGGTTGGAGAATTTTGATTATATATATGTATTGTAGTTTTACAATTTTGGTATAATTACTGATCTAAGTGGGTTGCTCTGTTGGAAAAAGACACATTTTACATTTATATTATGTTTTAGAGTCTTTATACTCCAGTTAATGATGAATCAATTATTAAATTAGTTGACGATTATTGAAATAATCAATTAATGCTTCAAACATTGATAAACAGCATCTAATGAGTGTAGTGTTTTTTTTATTTAATTTTTATTAATGTAGCAAAATTATGCTTTTCTCTTTTAACATTGAATTCCTCTTATCAGTACGGATGCTCACATCGAGCATAAAAAAGGGCGTGCATATTGCATTGCACCAATGACACCCGACCAATCGTGTCCCTACCAAAGTTAAAATCAAACCTACGCCCTTGGTTCTAGGAGACACAGGAGAAAGGTGATCAAAACAGGAAAGGTTCAGGCTGTCAAAGACAGTGGCCAACTGAGGCGTACCACACAAGGTTAACACTCTGGCATCCTCCAGCTGTCAGAGAGCTCCTTTTATAGCGCAGACAGGTAACCACAGAACGAGCCTCAGGTGTGTACCACGCCCACCAGTCAACTCCAGTCACCTGTGCAGAAAGCAGGGGCAGAAAAAGCACAACACTACCTGCTGAGTCCTGACACCCACCTTATAAAAAAAATAAGAGCATCTAAGACTCCAATATTCTAATTCGGGAATATTGCTAATAAAATAAATGATAACAAATATAAGCAATTGGTAGAAATTATGTCACATTGATCCCAGCTTGTAGTTATGATTTAATGTTTTAACTTCCACTTTAGTTTCAGATTCCATATTATCTGAAGCATCTTTGAAATAACTGTGGAAAATGTAGTATAGCAAAGACTCTAAAACACATAATCCCATGATGCTTTTCTACTGAAGGTAATCACTATCATGGAACCATTGAAGCCGTTCCTAAGCATCTTGGTTGAAGTTGTCATCCTGGTCGCTGCAATTCTCATCTATGAGAGGAGTCATGCTAAGAAAAAGGAAACAGAAGGTATGTAAGTGTGTTCCTCTTTACTCTTTTTCCAATGCATCTGTAAAGGGTTGGCTGGCATTTGATTGCTTAAACTTATATCCACAGATGGAAATACAAGTTAGTAAATCATGCAGTCTACCAATACTTTGAGTTCTGCTTTGGTTAGATGGGATCACATCTAAACACTTGAATGACGTTTGCTTTGGATGGAACAAGGAAGAATGTGTTGAAAATCACCTCATGCCCACTGTAATATACAGAGGATGATCTGTGATGCTGTGGGATTGAATCTCTTTCCAAGAACATTTAGACTCTGCCCACATTAATGGCATCAAAGACTCTTATACCAAGATATTCCAGATAAAAACCAGATGTGCTCTCCAAAAATGCTAATACTTCAGAAAAGTTTCTCAAGACAACAAGGCTTCAAAAAACAAACGGGCAATGACGAATTTGAAAAAATAAATATAGCAACTTTTTTTTTTACCTGCACTGAATTAAAATACTCAAATTTAAAAGAGGATTTACTAAACCTTTTTGTGTGACAATAAGTGACACAAATAATATAGATGTACCTTGATGCTTTTTACACATCTTTACATTAAACATTTTTTAATGTTCATTTTGTTAAGTATTTATCCATTTAATGGACGTATTTAATCATGAGTAACATTTATCTACTGGCTGTTTTATGGGGAATAATTTAAAACAATTTTCTTGCAGCTAATGGCCCTAATTCTGATCCAAAGAACACACAGTGAGTTCCATAGAATATTCTTCACATATTTGTTTTTTTTTTAATGTCTTTTTTAATAATAATTATTGTCTTGCCTCAGATCCCAGGGTGAAGATAATGCAGCAGAGGAAAATGCTTCAGTAAGACAGCGCAAAGCCTGAAGGACATCTGCAGAAATCATCTATAACATCCTGCATCTATCAGATGTTTCTTTTATTTTTTTTGATGTGAGCAATATATAAACAGCTATTTTTACACCAGCTAAGTGCAATGGCCACCTTTTAATCAAGTTTCCTTTGCATTACACACACTCACAAGCTTCCTGTTTTTTTAATGACTCATCCACCTTCTTTTTTATTTTCCCATTGCCACGGAAGGACTGAAGCATTTTGGATTCTCACTCTCAGTTTGTTGAGCTTGAGGTTTCTTTCACAGGTTTCCTCTTGCAGCGTCTGCTGTGAACGGAAATGTTTTTTTTTCACCTCACCCCACCTCTGAAGCTGCTTTACTGTGGTTTGTGAGCGGTGCCTTAACACTGTCAAAAAGCAACAGAATAACTGTTCTCTGCAGCAGCAGGGAATTTATTTCCCTCACCTTAAACATAGGTGTGTCCAACAAGTTTATTAACATGAGCTGCCAAGGTAGTGTCCATATCCAGATACTTGTGCGTCTTTGTCGTGTTGATGTTTTGGAAATGTATTCATTCCTCATTGTATATGCAAGCAATAAATTTAAAGCTACACAAAACTTTTGTCCAGGTTTTGACTTTTTTTTTTTTGCCATTTCACCTAAAGTTTGGATTTAGCAGAGTATGAATGTTCACTGTCTGGTGGAGAGGAGCTTAAGTATCTCAAAAAAATTAAAATGTTTTCTTATACCCTTTGCAAAAGAAAAAAAATACCATATTTTAAATAAAGTGGCCTGAGCTAGAAGAAGATGCTGACAACCTTGAACTGAGCTGCAGCACTAAGGCTAAAAGCAAAAAGCACTTTAACAACTCAGGCTGAAAATAGAAGTCAGAGCGCTGACAGCATTCCTGTAGAGGTAGCTTTCTACTGAAACCAGGTACAGCAGCAGCCAAGTGGAGGAGCTCACGCTCTGTGGCCTCATCATGGAGACAAATCAACTAGGAATACATGAGGCTCTACTGAACTCCATGCTATAATACAGGCCAGATAGAAAGTTGTGTGCATAGTTTGGTATTTTAAAGACAAATAAAAATCAATAAAATATAAAAAGCAAATTTAGAAGGAAACAGTTCTTCCAGTAGGTGACGTCTACATGTTAGAACAGTAAAGCATCTCAGTGAGTCTTCTGATGTTTATTGGATTCACCTCCAAATGTCGCAGAAGGCCCAGCAGAATGCAACCTTGGGTAAAATAAAGAATACTCATAAAATCAATCAGGTTGTTAACCATTTAGTTGGTTTACTAATTGGATGGAATAGTGCCAAATTTTATTCATAACATTATTAAAATAACAGTAAAAAGAATGCAGTAAAATGACTCCATAAAGGGTGAGTAAATGTAACCAATTACTAGCCACCTTTAGTGAGCACCCTAAACATTGGCCCTTTGGGGGTAATTATCTTACATTTTCTCAAAGTGTATCTTGAGAAAAAAAATACGATTTAATATTTAGAAAACTATGAGGGATGTATTAATGCGAGATCCTTTACGTACAATCTGAAAAAGTCTTCCTTCTTTGGGCCAGCCGCTTTTCTGCCAATGAAAAACATCCCTACAGCATAATGCAGACACCACCATGCTTCAGTGTTTGGATGGCATTTACCAACCATGGCTCAATTCATCATAATAATGATGAATCAGTGGATCATAATCTGTTATAGTGCCGAGTTAAATGACACAGCAGAAACACTATCAACAGGCTGCACTATAAGATATTAAATAAAATACAATTAAGGTATACATGAGATTTTAGCAATCCTGATTATCTCGCACCACCAAGTAAACAAACCAAAATTCAATTACGTAAGTACATGTTTCTAATGGTTTGGTGTTTGTATTAAATGGTATAGTCAGGCTATGTACAGGGAAGGCAGCAGACTCATGCATTTCATGATTAGAACAAAGTAGTTCAGACACAGTTCAGAAGAGTAGATGTTTTATTAACAGCTTTTTGTTTACAGTAGTTAGTTTCTCTAAAAGGCAAACTGGGAAAAAAGCTGTTTTCCCGTCAAAGCAGTAATGAGCTACAGCTGCTTCTTTACCAGGAGCAAACTTAACAATTAAATTATCAGGATAGGAGGGGAAAAAAATCTGTATCTGTTCATCCAAAGCTTGAATGTGGATTGTCTATCTGTGTTTAAGTTAGTTTAACAAGCTGAAAACAAACTCCACTGAATATCACAATCATATGAAATATTTCATGTCCGACTCTAGGTTTTTTTTTTTCCCAACTCAGACATCTGAACAAAATGCAGCTCCTTGTATCTTTGTCTCGGACTCAACTGTGAGGCTGATTCATGAGGAACTGAACCAGAAGCCTGACAACACCATCGTCCAGACCCACCACCTCTCCGTCCTGCACGTCCTGATAGAGCCGCAGGCTCTCAGTGCCCCACAGGATGTTTTTCCTGGGGTTGTTGCCGTCTACTTCAGAAGACAGGGCCACGGTGTTGAGCTGGTAGCAGAAGAAGGAGAAGTAGTGACCGTCTGTGATGACAGCCTGCGACACAAAGGGTCTGGAGACATCCTCGTAGTTCCAGAAACCTACAGAGGGCGGTGAAAGAAGGAAAACCCATCACTCTGCTTTCTTACAAAACTGCAGGATTCCTTTACGTTTTCCAGGAAAAGGTTTGTGGCATTTCAAGACCAGATGCTCAGATCTGGATGGATGGAAGGAAATAAAAAATATGGAAGTACAAAAACCTTTCAATATTAACTTTTACTTGATGCAAACTTATCCAAACCTGGAAAATCCTGAAATAAGTTATGTTTTCAGTAAAGGAACCTGTAAGTTCCAGTTGACATAGAGAGGTTAAATGAGGGAAGAAGACACAATGCAGCTTGGCTGAAGCTTTACGGCAGAAACACTAAATGGAGAGAATATCTGTGAACTTCTTTCTTCTATGTAATAAAAAAACCTCTAGGAACCAACACTGCAGTGGAAGCACGGACTGACTCAGTAACAGACCTTGGTATGTGGCCTGAGCTCCGGTCCAGGCAAAAAGACTGGCAACGGCGTTGGCTCTGAGGAAGGCCTCCACTTGGTCCGACTGCTGCTGCCGAGCCAGGCGCTCCCTGTGGTACCGGTCAGGTACCAGATGGAACTGAGTGTGACCATAGCAGACTGGGTCCGGCAGCTTCGCTCCTGGGACACAGAAAGCATCATGTTAGCACCAAGATTTACAAAACGGCTTTTAGACTGACAGAAAGCTTGCTTTTAATCAACTTTGCTGCCTTATTGCCATTCATATTTCCATCATTGGTTTCTTATCCTGAAGCCAAAAAAAAAATAAAAAATAAAAAAACCTTTCATATCTTTCAGTGGCTTAAATCTAATTTTTCTATCCCATATCTTTTAGTGAAAATTTGGATTTTGTTCAGGTTTAAAACACTTAGCCACCACTGAAGCCTGTAACCAGATTGGTCAATAGTGACTAGGAGTTTTCTTAACAGCAGTGTTACCTGTAAAGATGTTGTTTTCATACTGTCTTCTGAACAAAGGCATTAGATTGGGGGCGTAGGGGACTTCCGGGACCTCTGCTGTGTAAGAGGCCTCCAGTGGAGCAAACTTTAAAAAATTGAATACAAAATAAGAAGAAGTTGAAACATTGCAGCTTTTGGTGAAGTCATATTTAGGTGATGTTGACACAGAAACAAAAAAGCGACAAACCCAAATGAACAGATGTAACACAATAATAAGCTCTGAGTTGAACTGTTGCCAACGTTCGTGCCAAGACATTGCTGTGAATTATACCTGCGGTAACTGCTGGGGTATCCTAATCTGGCTGTGGGGATGGTCATCGATCTGGAATCTGATTGGCTCTAGTCGGCCTTTCCGGTGACCCTTAGGTATTGTCCTGGATCCCCTCCTCCAATAAAAGCTCACCTGTGGATTAAGATCTGAGGAAGACGGCAGACATTAGTGACAGAAACCAGAAATGAAATGAGGCTCTGGTTTGTGTTGTCTGCTGTGTAAGAACTGAGTGTGGTAATTGAATGTAAACTTCCTTTACAGGCTGCTGGTTGGAGAATTATAATTTCTCAGATCTAAAACTTGCTGAAGAATAAAAAATGTTTAGCAACAACTGTCCACAGTTGTAATTTCAAAGCACATGTGCAGAAATCCAGCCTTCATCAGGCTCCTTTCTAGCCTCAAACGTGAACTATCACTTTTACAAACCTACAGGAGCTAAGAGCTGATCTCTACCCTCACATATTTCACAAAATCACCACAGCTCTGATTGGATTATTCTGGATTATCTGAACTCCTCTGTGCTGACCAGTTGTTTTAAGAGAGAGTGGAGAAATCTCAAGTTAAAAAGAAGGTGTCATAAGGAAAAGGTGCAGCAGGTATATCATATATATATATATATATATATATATATATATATATATATATATATATATATATATACATACATCAGCTGAAGTCTCTTATCTAACATGATTATTGCACAGGTTATTGAATAGGTATTTATATAATAAGTAGGTTTTCAGTGTCTTTCTGTGGATCAGCCACCTTATCAATCAGTAGTGACTACAGCTGCCTTGTGACCATTGGGTAGAAATAAATCCCGGTCATGTCAGGAACTATAAAGTAGAGTTTGTTAGTTAAATATTGTCTGAGTAGAGAAACTTGATCATCCATACCCAGACTGGAGAGACGGAGCAGCGGATTGTATTTGGTCAAACTGTGGGTGAGACCAGAGACCAGGGTCCTCAGGAAGGGGCCGACCACCTGCTCCTGACTCTTATACAGAAACGGTTTGCGTTTCTTCACCTTGTGCCAGTGCTCGTGTAAAATCACACGGGTGACGAGGTCACGGATCTCACTGAACGCAGCATCGTCGATTCCCGTGGCAGCTGTGTGATCCTCGGCTGCAGGAGGGCTCTCCGCTCCTGGGGAGAACTTCTCCGGCAGGCCGGGGATATATGCGGTTTTAGTGAAGTGCTGGTGCCATCTGTCCGGGTTACGAGCGAATGTCTGAGGGTAGACTACAAACTTCATCCGCTGGATGCGAGTGATGAGGGACAGCTTCTCGTCCAGGGGAGAGGCGCAGATCTTTTTAACTCGCTCCTCGATTTGCCGCAGCCGCGCAGCTTTGCTTTTAGCCGTCAGTGAGGCGACTATGGGTGGATAAGAAGGCTCCTTTACGGCTGCTTCGGTGTGTACATGTCTGTGGGTTCTGAGCGGGTGTAAACTTTTAGGGAGAAGCAAGGACAGCCTTGTGCGGGCCGCCATGTTTCTTCCTTCTACGGTGGAGCTTCTTCTTCTTCGGTTTAAATGGGGTGAGCAAGCAACGTTTAGGTGTGCATTACCGCCACCTTCTGAATAGGAGTGTGGATCAGAATTTGAAAATGTCCCTACATTCTATAATGTAAACCTGTTTTCCTAAAAAAAAAAAAAAAAAAACCCAAAATCTATATATATATATATATATATATATATATATATATATATATATATATATATATATATATATATATATATATATATGCACATATATAACGAGACCATACATTTACCGATTGGAGTGGAGAAATCTCAAGTCAAAAAGAAGGTGTCTCAAGGAAAAGGTGCAGCAGGTATATCATATATATATATATATATATATATATATATATATATATATATATATATATACATACATACATACATATATATATACATACATACATACATACATACATACATACATACATACATACATACATACATACATACATACATACATACATACATACATACATACATACATACATATATATATATATAATCGGATTATAGAGAAGAAATAAAGAGAATAATAAAAATTCAGGAAAGAAGATGAGAAAATCAAAATCAATCTGAGCCCAATATTAGTTTTAACAGATTTGAAAAAGAAAATAGGGGAAGTTGAAATGGCAAAATCATTGAGAGACGGAAATTTGCTAGTTGTTTGCAAATCACAGGGGGAAAAAAGGCTACGTTATATTTTGTTATTGATGGCTATCATAGTATTAGAAGGGATAGAGAGGAGTGTAATGGAGGTGAATGTATGATTCTTTTAAACAGAGGGTTGCGGTATAGACTTCTAGCAAAGGACAAAAACACTTGAATATATTGCTATTGAATTATGAACAAAAAAAGTTTTAGCTGATACTTTACTTTTAAATAATTTTTGTAAGCAATTATTTGTACATTTACTGGATAAAATAATATTAGATTTAAATGAAAAGTTAATATGGTAATTTCAGCACTCACAACTCAGTATGGGATTATAGGACAGATGGAAATGGACTGGTTAATGAGGTGGTAATGGAGTCTAAAAAATCTTGTGTGCATTGATAATGGAGATGGAAAAGGTTTAAATATATTGCTGGAAAAGTACAACAAGCAATTTACAAAATAGAAAATGGTCATATAAATTGGGTTTTAAATTCTCAGTTGTTAAAACAAAAGTAAGGCTATTTACAAGTGAAATGAATCAGGTTCTATAAAGATATATAATCGAGAACCTGAAAGAGAAAAACCATGTAAATTCTTAGGGATTTGATTTGATGTAAAATGAATCTGGAAAATACACATTGAAAAGGTTATAGAGAATATAAACAAATATTAAATATATTGAGATGTGTAGTTGGGTATGAATGGGGGCAGATAGACTCTGAAAATGATCTACATGAGCTACTACTGATTATGGTTGGATAGTTTATGGATAAGTGTCTAAAACAGAACTAAAAAAAACTAGATGTCATCCAAGATCAGGCTTTATTAGTAATTACAGGAACAATTAGAACAACTCCATCCTCTGCTTTATAGATAGAGGTTGGTGAAATTCCATTTGCATGAAGAAGGATTCAGCTTTCATTAAACTACTGGGTCAGTCTGCAGTTAGCAGTTATAGATCCAGAATTCAAAATCAACATAGGGAGGAAGCTAAAGTCTTATCTATATATATACTGCAGAAATGATAGCAATAATGCTGGTAGTAGATTGCATTGGGGATGTCAAACCATTAAGAGCCGTGATTTGCTCAGATTCAAATTCATCATTAATCGCTCTACAAACAATTAATTCAGAAAGTTGTCCAGGTATACAGTGGGAAATTTAACAAATACTTTATTGCATTCAGATGACAAGATTAATGGTAGTTTTTATTTAGGTTCCTGCACATATAGGGCCAAAGAGAAATGAAATGGCACATATAAAAAGCAAAAGCATCCACAAACTGGAGTGAGAATGATATTAGAGAGGCAGTTAGTTAACCAGAGGTTAAGAGCATTATCAAAAGGAAAGTTAAACAGAAATGAGAAAATTGTAGAAAGATGATACTAAAGGAAGGTCTTTTTAAAGAATACAAGGAAAGGTTGAAGGAAATAAGAAGCTATATAGGAAGAAATAGGATTAAGGAAAGGATAATATAATAACTAGATTAAGGTTGGGACACAGAGGACTTAACTCAAACATTACATATATAATGGGAAAGGGAGACAATATGTAATGTATAGTTTTAGGAAATATTAGAAGAAATTATTAGAATTGTTAATGAGTCTTGGACTGGAAAGGGAACAATTAAACATTAAAAAGGCAATTTTTTTATGAGTTAATTTATTTATTTATAATTTTTTTTAGTTTGTTACCGGTTTGGGAAAAAGAGTATAGAGATTGTTATTATTACTATTTTATAGCTTGTTAGTCCTGGTCTACACTCTTACTGGATTGTGGCGGTAATGCGTCAAACTGTTGCTTGCCAGCCGTCATTAAAACTCAAGAAGAAGAAGAGTCTGACGCGGAAGCTGTCACTAGTACTGTTGCCACCATAGATATCCATAATAAAGGCTAGATGTCTCGTCTGCGCTGCTGGCCAATGGGGGTCGACGTCCGCACGTGGCGGCCATCTTGCCACAGGCAGCTCGCTCATTTGTAACATTGTGTTTTAAAGGCGCATGTACTTAAATAACCATAACTTCCTCAATTGTCTAACTGTTTGGTTTGTTAAACAAAAGTCAGACACATAGTTATGACACTGCACACTTCTGAATAATTATAACCATGGAATTTCATATGAAAAGAACATTGAATAGAACATACAGGTGCAATAAATATACACATGCACAAGGTATTTATGTTAAATCAATATATGCTATTAAAACTCAGTGTACTGAATGGCAACATGATATATAGATATATCTATATAGATATCTATATAGATACCTAAATATATATATATATATAAATATGTATATATATAAATAAAATTATGTATATATATATATATACATATTTATATATATATATTTTAATATGTATATATATAAATATGTATATATATATATATATATATATATATATATATATATATATATATATATATATATATATATTTTAATATGTATATATATAAATAAACACTTATTTGGGTGTGATTAATTATTTCATAGTCCTAATTTATTTATATTTACATACATACTTTTATAATATGAATATTATTGTTATAATAAAATATGAAATACTGACAAAAAAGGCTTATTGTGTGGCAACCTCTTGGTGTAGAAGCATAATCCAGGTTTCAAATTAAAGGTAACACTTTGAAGTTTCATGTAGACTATTCGGATTATATATCAGGGGTAATTACACAAAAGTTCCTATTTTTAAACCATTATAAAAGTGACATTTATTTGCTATTAAAATTGGAACAATAGTCCCCTTCACAAGTATATATAGATGTAGCATGTTGAAATCCCCACCTACACTACTGTGATGGTATACACATGGAGGACAGAGATTTAAAAAATAACCCAAAAAACATAGCTTGGCTAATGCCCTTTGAAAAGGAAGGTTTTATTGAGCTTCTGTATAATGTACAAGAGAGCGTTGTCCATAAGGCCATCAAAGCGGACAGGAAGGTAGCTGTGGTCATGTACTAGTGCAGGAATGTCAGCAAACGGGGATGGAAGATCTTCTCCTCCTGCTTACACATTATATAACCTGCAGAAACAAAAACAAAAGTGACCAACAACAATTCACGGTGTATAAGATTGGTATATTTGAAGATGAGCTGGAAAGTTGAAAATGTTTGGCACAACACCATCTTTAAGTTGTCCAAATGAATTGATTGGAAATCATGTTAAATTCTGCCTCTTCCGCTGATGTAAAGTTGCTGGTTAACGTTAGCAGCTAGCTAAACTGTAACGTTAGCTGCTAACTTACTAACGTTAGGTCTCACTTTGCAGCTTCTTGTTATTAGCCAGCTAACGTTAGGCTAATAATGAAAATACAACAACACTCAGATTATTGTTATTAGCCAACTAATAACTACAACCACATCCACAAATATTGTAATTTACACCAAAGATTAATTGTCATACAATCGTTATTGGTGTCAGTAAAACCTATATAATTGACCAATAGTCTCAGCCTTGATAACTTGCGCAAGTAGCCGTGATGCACAACAATGCTGCGCGATTAAGTCATTTTTCGACAAGAAAATCTGCAATTTCGACATGTTCAAGCATCAAGAATAATAGCCACGTTCATAATGTTTGTAAGAAACCAAACTGTTTGTAAATCCGTCAAGAATTCAGTGAGGTAAGAGTATTTGTGTTCGTGCTGATCAGTCACCTTACATTAGGTACCACAGAGCACAACAGAAAGCCTGCCTGAGGCAAGATGGCCGCCGGTGATGACGTTTGAGACTCCGCCGTAAGACATCTAGCCTTTATTATGGATATCTATGGTTGCCACTCTCTGGTTTAGGCAGGAACTGAACTGCTTGTTCCTCCATACATTTCATCTGATTTTCAGTAGTTGTATTTTTATTAATAATTTTTTTTTTATTTGTTTGATGTTCTTGAAGTAACCCCGCATACGTCATAAGTGTCGCCTTTAGTGTCATTTAAAATATGTCGGATATTTGCGTTAACAATATTAGCAGGCGAGAAGATTCGTATTTACTACTTTTGCGTTGAACAACATTTTGATAAAAGGGGGTCGATGTATAAAAACTAAATCAAATTGACTTATAAAGCTCATTAGCAAGTTCCCGATGTAAATTAAACAGAACAGGTCTAACAGCAATACTCCATTAAGCTGGGATTTTACGTGAGGTACCTGAATGTAGCATTACCTCGGCGAATTTGGGGTTGGAGTTTCTGAGTTTGGTCTGCAATGGTAACAGAAACGGAGAACAAAGTTCAGCTTTTCCAGCAGTGAACTACAATAATAGTTAGCTAGCTATGTATATTCGTAATATTTTTCGAGCACAGTTGGTCGGAGCCAGAGTCCTCCTGTTTAACCATGTGCAGCGCGTTTATGGAGCCCAGGTAGCTGCCCTAAAACCAATCTGCTTCTTTACTATCATAAACATTTTAATTTCGCTTAATGTTGCTGAGCTTTTGCTCAACAAAAACTCTGGTAGTTCTGTCGGTGGCTGTGGGAAACCTTCAGTATCCCACCCCCAAGAGGTTTGACGCATTAACAAATTAACCTCGACTAAACGCGCTCTTCATTTGGTTATAGTACAAAAATGTTCAAATCTGCCTGTTGTCAAAACTTTCAGAGATCACTCTGCACCAAAAGTGATGAGGTGAAGCTGGCAGAGGAGGCTAGCAGAAAGTATGGCTCTCCAGGTCCAACCATCTTCTCCAAAGTGATTGATAAAAGCATCCCTGCAGATATTATTTATGAAGATGACAAGGTAAACAACACATAGAGAACTCACATGGTCCAGTCTATCGGAAATAACACTATTTTATGTTTTTTTGTCTTGTCAGTGTTTGGCATTCAGGGACATCAACCCACAGGCCCCTGTTCACTTCTTGGTCATTCCAAGGGCCCCTATTCCTGGAATAAGTGCAGCTGAAGATGATGATGCAGAGGTATGAAGCTCTGCTTCCTGTAGAATTCACTCTTCTGTAATTATCTTTAACTTTGCCTAACAAAAAAAATAAAAACAATAGTATTACAATTAAATTGAAGAATGTCAAATTGTGGTTTAATTAGCTAATGGAAAAGAAGCAATCTGAAAGAGCAACCTTAACGTGTCTTGATTGATATATTTTTTTAGAAGGCTGAGCTAAATTTTAGTTGCCAAACTCGGGCAAGATTACTGCTATACTTGTAAGTATCAAGACATTACTTACACAGGACCTGTCTGACACAATGAAGTAGGCCAAACATTCTAAAAAGTATGGAAGCAAATCTTTACCATATTTCAAATGAAAAAGCATTTCCAGAAATGCTTTCTCATTTTAAGAATACGGCTGCATTACTTGACTCATAAATAAAATGAGTAATCAATCATCCTATGTGCATTTGCACTTTTTTCTTTAAGACTGCAAGTTTTATGCCACAATCAAAGAGAAAACATAGCAGACGTTGCTTTTTTGTTTTCGTGGTCTGCCAGCAAAGTACTGTCCATAACTCAAAAACGGAAAAGCATTCTGAGCGGCGGGCGAAGCAGAGTAACATCAGCAGCCGCTTTTCCTCAGGAAGAGCTCTTCCTCAAATGTCTTTTTCTTTTTCATTTTAATTAAGTAAAAGGATAAGCAGTGTTAAAGAAGAAAATGAAAATGCAAACAGGATTATTGATTACTAATTTCATTTATGAGTCAAACAATGCAGCCACATTCTTAAAATGAAAAAGCATTTCTGAAAATGCTTTTTCATTTGAAATATGGTAATGATTTGCTTCCATAAAAAGAACTTAGCTCATCTGATAAGAGTAAAAATGGTCTCTAGTGATCCACTCCAAATATTCATATTTGTCTATCTGTGACATCTATGGTCCCTACCTCAAATATATTTTAAGGACAGCTCTATATATTTTGGAAAATTTACTTACTGTAACTAACATATGCAGAACATAAAGAGAAAAAAGCCCATTTGGAGAAAATCTTTAATTTCTAATTTGGTTCTGGTACAATTTGTTGAATTATTTTGAGAAATTCTACGGTGGCTGGGAGGTGCAAATATATAAACATGCAGCAAATACAGGAAGTACTGCAAACACAGCAATGAATTTAGTGCTAAACACAGGCAAAGTAACAACATTGCAAAAGAGAAATGTTGCAAACCTAGAAAATAGAAAACAGCAGAAGTGCAATTTTATGAAAAAGCATCAAACACATTAATGATGCTAAAACACAAACACATGCAAAGTAGAAAATTGTAACTTGCAAAACAACAGTAAGTTAAGAAAAGCTGCAAATGAGCTCTGGATGACAGGAGTGCTTTTGGCCACCAGGGGGAGATGATCTCAAACTCATTTAGGGCCAGACTAAGAAAGACATTAACAAGATACCCAGAGAGATGAAGTGTTTAAAAAAGATTAAAAGGAAAACAAACCTTTTCTTTCTTACTGTGTAATGCAATGGATTTGGTCCATAGTAACCAGATCATAGTAATGTCTGTGGTTTGGTGCCATATCAGCCCATGATTGTTCCTCTACTACTGGTTTTGATCCCTTTCATTTAGTGGAGTTTGTCTGCAGCTTTTCTTAACTTGCAGTTTCTTTATTTTATTAATTGAAACATTTTTCATTTACTTGTGTATTTGCTTATTTGTCACATTTTATGTCTGTTAGTCTAATTTTTGTGTTTGGACTACGTTTTGTAATTGTTGAGCATATGCTTATTTTATATATTAATTAGCAGTGTACAAAGATTAAATTTAAGAGCTATTTTAAGTTTTATGTATGATGTAGAGGTTCTAGATCCAAACAACTTTTTAGATTTTTTTTCTTTTTTTTAATATCTCAAAATATTCTGTCTTCTTTATTTTTCTCCATCGTTCAGCTCTTGGGACATTTGTTAGTTGTTGCTAAAAACGTGGCGAAGCAGGAACCTCTTAGCGAAGGCTACAGAGTGGGTAAGTATTTTCATCCAGTAAGTAAAGATTCTTCTCAGTAATAAAATTTATTCAATTATCAATTAATGAACTACGTTGAATTGGCAGTGATCAATAATGGAAAACACGGATCTCAGTCAGTGTACCACCTTCATATCCATGTTCTGGGAGGAAGACAGATGGCCTGGCCACCAGGATAAAGAGGATCACACAACCGTGAAAATGTCTGCAGCCATTCTTTCAAGACACCACGTTTTTCTCAATTTGATTAATTAATTGTAGCCTGTAGTTTAGTAGGATTTTTTTTAGGTCTTTCAAGTGTGTGTGTTTTTATTTTTTTTTATTTTTTTTTTACTTTGGTTGTCTTTAATAACACAGGTATTAAACAGGCAGGACAGATTGCACACTATATGTTGAAATATCCCACCCTTTTTAGCTATAAGCACTTTGGAAATCCTGTCGTTGGGGCAAAAGTAGCTTTTAATGACCGTGACAACAGATTTTTTTGTTACAGAAAAAAACCCCAATTTGTCTTACAACAGACTACTTGTAATTAAGCAGCTAAAAACTGTAAATGAATTATATTGAAATATCACATGAAGGCCTTCAGTAGTAGGATACCTGCTGTCTTATTTCTACATCTTAAGCCTGATTTCAGAACTTGTATAAGCACGAAATGACATCTATCTGTTCTGAAGTCTTTGTGTTGTGATGTGTACAAAAATGCTTTATTATGTCAAATGCGAATATGTTGATCTTTGCAAATGTAAAAATGAACAGATTTAAATAAAGAATTGTAATTGTATTTTGATTTGACACAAGTAAGGTCAAAATGTTCAATGCCTGTGATTTTTTTCTTGATATCAATGACCTTTTATTGGAGGGGAATTAATTTGCAGACATTGGATGTCTTAGAAATTAATCTTCGATGTTTGTTGCAGAACAAATCTTAGCCCATCTGAACCAAATCAGTGAGAATTAGTATTACTTGCTGGTTTGAGGGTTAAGTAGCATCATTTTAGCATATGAATTTTAACCATCCAAAATTACTCAAGAGTGAAAAAAGAATATACAACATAATCTCAAGAATATCCAGATGGTAATGCTAGTACATATACACAACAGCAGGGGTGTATGGCAGACAAATATCCAAGAGGACCCAAAGTGCAGCTTCACAGCCTTTAAATGGTGTGCAGGTGATCGCTGATTGACGGAGACCCAAGAAGCGGCACCCAAGCAGGAAGAGGCAGAGCCTAAAACGAACTGGCATTACTTCAGTGTGAAAACAAAACGACATCCACCTTGGGGATGTAACACCCCCACCCATAAGAAACAATATTAAAGTTTGTTAACATTGTACACAAACGCACTCTTGAGAGTTTATGTTACTTGATTTCAGTATTCTAATTTTGAGAGATCAAAGCCCACCTCATTAGTCGTTGATTGTTGATGTACATTCATGCAAGGAACACAAGAAGGTTTTGGTCATTAAAGACCTGGAGGTTTTGAAGTGGATCCCACGTACACATCAAAGTGCTGCAGAGCCAGAATCATTGCTAGAGTCTCCTTTTCAATTGTTGAATATTGTCTGTTATGGGCATTAGACTTCTCACAAAAGGAGCAAACAGGATGCATCACTCACTGGGCAACATCTTGAAGAACAGCTCAAGCACAGGAGCGCTGAAAAAATAATAATACAACCGCTTTTGGGATTTACTTAATCATATTTTGTAATTTTAACACAACTATTTTATGTCCAAACCTGCTAACATGAAACAATTGTGTTAAAGTAACTAAATATGATTAAGTAAATGCCAAAAAACGGTTGCATTATTTTTTTAGTGTACTGTTTGTGATAGGCATTAAATTTCACACAATAGAAGCAAGCAGGATGTGTCACTCGTTGGACATCATCTTGAAGAACAGCTCAAGCACAGGAGCACTGGATAGAAGACCAAAAGCACAGTCAAACGTATGCTGACATGCAAAACTCCAAATAAATGTTACTCTTGGACTGCAAACGTTAATCAGCCTTGTTACAACTTCAGATAAGTATTTTTTTTTTTTTACAAAAACATAGATAGTAGAAAACCATACCCTGAGGTGTCAAGTAACAAAGTACAAATGCCTTACTTAATTAGAAGTTTTGGCTATCTATAATTTACTGGAGTATTTATTTTTCAGATAACTTTTTATTTCCACTCCTTACATTTTTGTGCAGTTAACTCTACTTTCTACTCCTTACATTTTCATTACAGACTCGTTAGTTATATTTAATTTAAGCTAATTTTTGTTATAGGCCCACCCCACCCCAGCCCAAAATAAAAATTGAATTAATTTATTTCATCCAGACAATGAATTTCTTTGTGGTTGGACTCGATACTGCACCAACTTGTAGTTTGCCAATTCATCCAGAATTGTAGAAAAATTTTCTTTTAATAGGATAGCGCAGTATAAGGTTTAAAGCTTCTGTTATCAAAATTTTTTCCTGCATTACTTTTATACTTTTAGTAGTTTTAAAATGGTACTTTTACACTTATGCTTGAGAAGAAAGCTTAAGTTGATTTATAACAGAAGGATTTATACTTCTACTTGAGTTATAAACATGAATACTTTTGAAACCTCTGACCACACCTTGGAATCTTCATAGCTCCCTTTGGGTACGGGAAAGGTAATTATGGCATCTACCTTTGCACTGATGAGATGAACCTGGCCTTGCCCACCTTCCTTTCCATGGTAGGTTACCGTGGCCCTGCCAAGCCCCCATTTCACCAAGCTGAGAGTCACTGAAGCCTAAGCTAGACGCTTAAACACAGTGGCAACTTGATCAGACCAGTTTAAAGTAAAGACAACCACTTCATAAACCTTACAGTTTCCCACATGAGTCGACATCAACCTCTGGAACGTTGCAGGTGCATTTCTCATTCCATATGCCATCGCTGTATATTGTAGAAAATGATCAGGTGTAACAAGCAAGGAAAGCTCCATAGACTATGGCTTTGTATAGCCAAACTATGCTCTAGAAGATAATGTTTCCTGTTTTATCACTTCTCTATTGTTCATATTCATATGATAAGCAGTGCATATTCAACACTGATGTCATACTTCAGCACTGTAGTATGTGACGGGATATCACCAAAAAACTTTGGATGGCTATATATAAGGACTTCAATGTTTGAACATCAACTTAGAAAGTACCTCAGAATGAAGCATCCTGGCACACAGATAGCAGGCCTCACTGAGCTCATCTTCATCTGCACCCACTTTCAGGCCTGAGAAAAAAACCCAGAGAGATTCTGGAGATATCTGGTGATATTTTTAGCTGTGACGACTAAGCAGGCTATTCTGCAGAAGAGAATCAGTATGAAAGGATTTAAGCATAGTTGCAATGACTCAAGCGTGTTTTTCGCTTCCTATCTGGTGTTTTAATCACATATCAGTTTCATTTACTTTTTTATCCACCTAGTATGGTCCGCAGAATTGGGCAGGTAATGGAGAGTTAGAAGTTGGTAGAAGAACCAAAACCTTGCTTAGCTTCTCGGATAGCAAACACCAGCAGGGGTACTCCATCCAAAGCCTTTCCAGTACTCAAGCAGTAATTTCTGGAACATTGCCAGACAAATGTCTATTGCCAGCATTCCAACGCTATCTGTCTGTCTGTCTGTCTGTCTATCTTTATATCTATAGATATGTATTTAGATCCACAGCGTATAAAGACAAAATAATTTTTCACTAATTAATATTGAGTCTTACAAAATAAATCCTAACATTATTATTCTGGCACATCTGCACAGCACCTCGGCTGCAGGCTGTTATAAATCAAAATCATTAATTATTCTATAGAAGAGGAGGTGTTAGCCCCTCTGAGTGAGTTAGAAAATGTTTAAGCTGGAAAGATTATATTCATTTATGACAAATCTTTTGGCTCTAAATGTTTTATTTTAACTGTCTTAGTCTCAGACTTCCAGTTCATGTTTGTGTCTTTGGCAAGAATCAAGCTTCTCACTAATCATTCACCAGTTTGAATCAGTAGAGATACTGGGTCAGGACGGCTGTGGTGAGACTGGATGGTGTGATCTCAGTGAGTGGGGTAACTTTGTGTCATTGCAGAAATACGGTTAAACTTTCACCTATATTTACTTACAAAACAGAGCTCAGGACCTGCAGATTTTCCTTGCAATACTCAGGATCTGGAGAAAGAGAGACAGTATTTGTAGTATTTCCTTTGTACGTTTTTAAATTCTTCCAGATAAAATAATCAGTTCTGATGACCTTTTCTATAAATTATCAACAGTCTTCTTGCCTTGATGGCTTGTTTGCAACAGCTTTATCTTCCAAATGTGTTAATTGCAAAATAAAGAATGATTGCACAAGTTTAGCTTTTGAATGGCCTTTATCTGTTATCTGTTATCCTGCTCCTACAGAACTTATGTAACTATGTTTTTCTCTCTCACAAGCTTCATTGTGCTTGTCTGATAAAAAACTGTCTTCATAAACCAATTTAAGATGATAAACATCTTAACAACACCACACACCCACCTTATTTTTGCCTTACGGGATCCATAAATCTCCCCCTGGCTGAATGTTTGTCCCTGTCAACAAACCAACGCTTCTGGGCCGCTGTAATTAATACAAACACAGCAGGTTTCTGCGTCTGCTGGCTGTTGCGTCCTGTAGGTTTCAGTTCTTCTTCACCTTGCTGTGACCACAACCTTTGATCTGCTTTTTTTTTTTTTTTTTTTTTTTTAGATCTTTATGACCTTAGCAAGCAGTTCCTTGCCAAATTATGCAAGTGTCCTTTGTGCTTGGGTGAGGAGAGCGAATTTAGTTTGATCACCTTGTGGAGGTATCCTAAAGGGTGCTCTAGCTGCATGTGCAAAGGTCGATGCAGGTTGGTCCTACTCTTGAGTGCTTCTGAGAAATTGATGCCACTTAGCTGTGAGAACAGACAAGGTAAGACAACACCTGCGAAGCTTTTCATTTTAATTTTTAGCTCTGTTGTGCATAAATAATTAGAGAGGAAAAGTGTTAGAATTTAAAAATAGGAAAGTACATTTTTTCCAGATATTACTTCAATTTGTTTATTCTTACGATATAACTGCTCTAAATTGTTATGTTTTCCTTGGTTCTTCATAGTTGTAATGTTCATTGCCAACTATTTTAAAAAAAACTAGAGTCTACCTTTTCTGCTTGACAGAACAATAAAAAAATGCCTTGCAAAAGTAGTCATAGTTCTTCGACATTTACAGGAGTTTAGTGACATAACTTGCACAACCTTTTATGTTTTATTGTAATACTGTTTATCTGGATAGAAAAGTAGTGTATATTTCTGGGTTGGGTAGAAAATGGGACATAGATTGCCAAGGTTTTATTTAGGTTAAGTTCAAAGCAAGATAAATAGATCAGGATTTTATACAAAAATGTTTGGTTAATTAAATCGACTGATATTACACCTAACAAAGATTACATTCTAATCTTAGAGATAAAATGAAATTGGCTACTTTTTTAAAGGGGCCAGTTCTGACTACATGCATGGATATAGTATGCCAATCAACAACAAAATTGATTCATCAGCAAATACAGGATTCTACTCCCTTCTATGTTTTTCTGTTACCAAATAATTTAACAATGGGTCAGATAATTTCAAAGCTGTTAAAGCATTTTCTAATAAAAATCTACTATAATGGATAGTTCTTTGAGGGTCGGTGTTCTCTGTTAAATAAGATCAGACAGAAGAGACTTGTGAGCAAACAAATATATTTTCTTTTTAAGTACTATAAGTTAGGACAGGATCAAGAGCATGAAGACTTAAGGGAGTAGGTCACCAAATGATTTGGGTTTTATAAGTAAAAAACAGAAATGTATACACACAGATTCAGACCCCCTGCATCAATATGCTGCAAACCACTTGTCTGGTTACAGCATTTTAAAGATTTAAAGTTAGGATTATTTAGCTCTGTAAAATAATTCATATATAGTCATATAATATATCTGTGAAAATCAAGTTTCAGACTCCTTAAATGGAGTCTTTGACTGGCCCATTCTAACCCATTAATATCCTCTTATTTAAACCAGCTAGTTGTAGCACTTGTAGGAAAACTGTCCTGCTGGAAGATGAATTCTCGTCCAAGTCCTTTAAAACTTCTAGACTTCTATGATTGCTCTTTATTTAGTTCAAACAATCTTACCCTTCACTCGAATCTGCTTCACTGACCCTCTTGTAGAAAGGGAACCTGATGCTGCCACCACATGCCACATCGATTCATCCTGATGTAGAATAGTTTTTGTCTTTACCTCAATTTCTAATAGGCTGAGATTTTTCTGTTTTGTTTTCATCTGGGATCTACCTGGCTTGTAACGGACTGTAAACCAAACTTAGAATATATGTTTTTCAACAGTGGCTTTATTGTAATTCTGAAGACCAGAATTAGAAAACCAGACTAATGGTTTGCCCATCTAAACATTCATCCAGCTGAGTTTTATCCCCACAGCATGATGCTGCCATCATAATATTTTGCAACAGTAAATGCATTTATGACAATATGCAGTGTTTATTCTTCCTGCTTTGCTGTGTCGCCCTCATGGGACAGTCCATGTATGCTTTTCCTACCAAACACAGTAGGAATACTTTTTCTGGGTCTATCACATTAAATCTAAAGCAATACACAAAGATTTGTCTCTCTCATGGTAAAATTTGAAAAGTTATGCTGTATGAACACTTAAGCAAAGCACAAAAAAATTGTGCAATTTGGAGCAAAGATTTTGTTGCAAAACTTCACTTTAGTCAATCTTATGACCTTTGGTTCCAAAGAGAAATATTGGACGTGGGTTATCTTAGAGAGTGCGGGTGAGGGTTGGCTGTGTCACCAGATCTTGATCTGTACATTACTGAAGGATTTTATCTGTAACTTTGACTCTCATATATGCAAATATGTTTCTGTTAATTGTTTTTCTTAATTATACAGATAAGCCAAGGCTAATACTTTAATCCCTTCTATTTGTACTTGTTTGTATATTTAGTTATAACATTTCTTAGCTTTAAGAAACCTCTATTGATAGTTTTGTGAAATCTGTTTGACTTACAGCGACACTTTAGGTAATTTGGGTCAAAGTTACTTTCACTCACAGACTAAGAGCATAAAGATGGCATGAAGATTAGGCAACACAATCTGGCACGTTTTTCAGAGTTTCAACATGTGGATGTCTTCTACGTTTGCTTTCCAGCAATGCTGGCCACTGACCTGTTGCAATGACTTCAATGAATGTCAGTGTGGTATAAATGAGCACAGCAGTCCTGTTTCATAATCGATCTTCTCATCAGCCAGGAGAGTCCTCTTTTAGAAACTTATAAAGAACGTTAACGCTGATCATATTTAACATTTTCTCTTTTTAGCAACTATATGATGAGTGTCGAGGAAAGTCCCATTGCAGCCGCAGATGGTAATAATGACAGGTAAGTACATTTCTGTGCAAACCAAAAAACTTTTTGGGAACCTTGATTGAAATTTTAAGGATTTTTATCTAAATTATTGTATGTATATCCTGATTTCTTTTCATATTCTTGGTCATCCCAGCATCTGTTCTCAGAATGAAACATCTAAAATAGACAGGACATGTTTGGAGACAGATTCCACAGTCATGACAAATGGAAAAAACGATCCACCTACAGCCCAAAAGTGTAGCACTGATACTCCTGCCAAACCTCCGAGATGCACCGAGCTGAATGGAGCTGCCAACGGACCCTCATCAGGTACTATTTGAATTTTGAGTCTCACACTTGGAGGGAAGAGTGAAAGCAGTTTCATTCAGAAGTTTACCTACACTCACTAAAGAAAGGAATATCACATGTATTTTGAGGCTTTTAATAATGCTTTATTGCTCACCCTTTTCAATAAAAGAACTTCAAGTAATGCAAAAAAAACCCAAAATGAAATCATCACACTGGTTTTTCATCAATCCAATCATGATAAAAGCTCATCACATAGTTGGAAGCTCATATACAATAATTCTTTTCTGCCATGGACCCATGGACTGCCAAAATGTCTGCCATGACATTTTGAATCTAACTTAAATTCGCTATTTAAAAAAAATAAATATGAGATTTGTGTTAATATAGGGGAATTTATAAAATGTTTTTGGCAAAAAAGGATTTTCTTAGCTGATTTTTACAAGTGTTTTCTTTTAAAAAATTCTATACAATTTTACCAAATCTAACCAAATTTAACCAATCATAATCCCAGTAACATTTTTACCACTCTTAAATTTTCTTAAAGTTAGAGACAAGGTTGAACATTTGTTCTGATAATGTGAAAGAGAATAAACAAATGGATTTGCTCTGTTAGGGATTTTGCATAACGCCCTGTCTTCTTTAAATATCTAATTTTATTACGGTGTTGATAAGAACGTATTCACACTCCTCCTATTCAATAAGTTCAAAGGTGTTGTGTGCTAGGAGCTGGACCCAGAATGCAGATAACCAGGCTTGGAGATAGGAGCAAATGACAGTTTATTTGGTTCTTAGGGGAAAAGGGAAAGCAAGTTCATGGAAGGCACAGCTGAAGATGAGGGAGGTGGGCTGTCTGGCTTGGTAGCAGGAGACTTGTAAGACAGAGCACAGGTTGGGTCGCTGTAGAAAATCCCAAAAGGCAGATAAGATTGTTTCCACTAGAGAAAGTTGCTGGCCGATCTACCAACTAAACAGTGACCATCAGGCAGTGAGCACACAGCAGGCCAGGCTTTAAATACTGCTCCAGATGAAGTTCAGTCTCAGGTGTGTGCAGCCAGCTCCTCCCCAAGCCTTACCTATAAGAGAGGTAGCACAAACAATCCGCAACCACTCAGGCTGAGACGCAACAAAAGGTTGATTGCTGTGAAAGTAAACATGTCTCAGTTTGCTCCAAAAATTTAGACATTTTTTAAATTTGAAAATGGATACATTTTCAAATATATCCATTTGAAAATGTATCCAATTTTCAAATGGATAAATACAAAGACTTTTTCCTATACTTTTTCACTAATAAATAAAATCCAAAATAAATAATCCAAATAACATTTTCATTTTCTTCTTCAAGTCTGCTAATTTTTTATAAATTTGTTAACATTATAAATAAAAAAACATTTGACGTTTAATTTGGAAAAATTCCAAACAAAACAGGACCAAAATTCATTTTGAAATGTCAAATTTTAAAATTAAAATGCATTAACAAAAATTATAACCCAAGGTTATTTTTCTTTATCTTCTGCAGGACTGCTCATTTTCTTACTTAATCCAAATGATTAATTAAATAACGTTTAATATTTAAGTTGTAAAAGATGTGTCAGATAAAAGTGACCAAAATTGAGTTTCGAATGTCATATTTGAAAATTGAAATGCATTAACAGAAATGCTTTGCCTTTTAAAGCATTTTTTGACTCATGTATAAAATTAACAACAGATGATCCCAAACTGCATTTTTGTTTTAATGCAATTACTTTCTGAGCTAATTGTAAAAAGGACTGTTTGATGTGTAAAGGTGTGCCTTGTAGCCTGCTGCAGGTAAGCCCAATCATGGGGCAAAATTAATGGGCTTTCATCCTTTCACTTTACACCCCCTAATGTCCAGGATGTGTAATGATGCAATACAGACAGTGTTACTCAATGAAAAAGCATTTTCTATTAATCCATGTTAATCAGAAAATTGAGCCACATTTGCATCAATAGTTTGCATCATTGTTGACCCTTTGGAGTCGAAAAAAAAAAGAAAATTAGCAGCAGGCATTACAGCAATGTATTTCTTAGAAACAATAGCTATTCTGTAGGGCTGTTAAATATAATTTTTTAATTGCATAGCAAGAATCTAAATTTTTAAAGCAGAGTAAAAATGGACAGAAATACCAAAGGAGCACTGAGAGGCATACCAGAAAAGTGTTATTTTAAGTCCAGAGTTTAAAACAGACATATAAAAGGCTCCTTTCTATTTGACCAAAATAGAGTGTGCAGAGATTGAAAGAAAACAACGTCATGATTAATTTTAGAGTCAATTATCTGCCTAAATGTAATTGAGAGGTTGGAATTCATCTGGTGGTTGCACACCCCAGAGCTAAACTGTCCTGAAAGCTGACTCAGACTTTTTCTTAGATATTTAAAAGTAGAACTACATGTAGGTATTGTAACTCTTAGCTTCGGAATATGTAAAATTATTTGTTTTGAAGAGATAGTTCTCAACCTTCTATACAAAACCCACATGTTTCTACACTAAATGATACAGTTAAATCCCTGTAAGTCAACAGTTAATGTCAAGGAACAACCTTCCTGCTACCAAGGTAAGCTGCAACAATGATGCGAACAAGGAAAAAAAAAAATACAATTATTAACAAGTCTAATTAAGCTGACTAACCCAGAAAGATGCTTTTCAATGGCTGAACTTAACTCTGTTTAATTTTAGGCAGGTATACAACAGAGAGCGGCTAAGAACAAAATTTAACTGCATCAGTGCTTCTGTTATAAAAAACAGCAAGCATCCTTAATGATTTCATAGCATGGTGTGGGAGGGTTTCTGTGTGTGTCTGTTTGTCTACTCATTCATATTTCCTATTAAAAACAAAATGTTTGCAAATGAATGTTGGCAAACCTGCAGAGCGGGACTCCACAGGAAACATTTTAACCTTGTTTCCACTTGTTGGTAGGTTTTCGTTTTCTTTTCCGGCAGCTAAGCCTGCTGTAAATTATTGAAATAAATACAGTAAGATATCTTTATACACATGAGGAGGGTTGAAACACCTCTTAGATTTATAGGTAGACCCAGCCCATACCTGTCAGCAATATTTATCTCATATTACTCATATGGTTCTAGCTGTAAATATATGCTGGGCATATTTTACTTTTATAAGAAAAAGTGTTGTTTTTAATATTTTTTACTTTCCTTTTTTTGAAGACAAATATGAATGCCCTGTACTCATTAGAAGCAGCTGTACTCAGGCTGTGTGCTCATCTTCAAACCACACCTGATTGGTGGGTGTGTCACTTTATTCCACAGCCTCCTGTTCAGGATCAGATAACAGCCTTCCTCCTATTAACAGCTGCAAATCATGTTACTCTGACACAGCAGGCGTGACTCACCTGCTAGGATGTCTCCTCTGCTCTTACTCACCTGAGTCTTCTTCTGAACCACGACTCTACCGTCCTCATCCTGTCTTTCCCTAATCAACAGTCATGGCGGGTAAATGTATCTGTTGTCCCAATGCAGAGGAGACCAAGGCGGTTCCCCTGACGACAGGCGACTTGGCAACAACTTTGGCCCCAGCTGAGCATCTGTGGAGCTCCAGTAGAGACCAGGCTGTCAAGCTGAGGATGGAGGGCTCGGGTCCGGGCTCCGAGACTCCCATCACCGTTCATCAGATGTTCCTAGAGACGGTGGAGAGGTTTGGGGATCATCCAGCTTTGGTTTTCAAAAAAGATGGCCTGAAGGTGACCATGACCTGGAGGCAGTACTACGACCAGTGCTGTGCAGCAGCCAAGAGTTTCCTCAAGGTTGGTACTGTTCAAAATATGAATGTTTTAGCATGATGGGTTTAGTAAAATGTTTTTAAATAAAAGGAATTTTATTATCAGGTTTTGTGACAAAAACAAACTCCTTTGCATTTTATTGGGATTTTAGATGATACACACAAAGTAGAGCATAATTCTCAAGCAGAGAGAAAATCACTTCTTTTTTTCCCCAGCATTTTAATGAATAAAGTGTGGAACACATTTATATTCAGTTCCTTTGAATCAATACTTTGTAGAACCACTGAATGGAGAACTTTGAACCACTTCCTTTTGCAGAGGCAACTCTTTAGTGAGGTGTCTAGCAGCTTTGCACATCTGATGGAAATTATCATCAGATTGGACACAGAACATCTGTGGACATCAGATATCAAATCTTTTTACACATCTTCAGATTAGATTCAAATCTATATGCTTGAGAACATTTTGTTCCAAACTCCTCCATTGTGGCCTTAACTGTTCATGAAATTGGTTCATCTCAACTCTTTTGCAGCCTCTGATATTCATTTTTTGAGGTTAGCTCTGTTATTTAGTGCCGGAATCTTTTGATCAACTATTTCCAGCCTCTTCCTCCATCCTAAATAAAGAATCTTTCCATTGTGATATACCCACTGCCGTTATTCACTGTGGATAATGGTAAAAGTTTAACTTTATCGTAAAAGTTTAAGTTTTTTGGACTTCTTTTATCAATAAATTCTTCTATTAGGACACAATCTTGTGACGTTTTCTAATCGGAGGCCTTCCATGCACAGCCGTACTAAACACAAATACATTTCTAAGAGATGGGCTCTATTTACAGATACTAAAATGCTTTGGTTACACAGGATTGGGTTTGAGGTTTAAAAGAGGAAGAAAAAACGAATTTCAGAGTTTGATTTGTTTAAAAAAAAAAAGGAAAATATATAGAATTCCCCTCCAAACTTCATCTTAAACACAAAATCCTGATAAATGTTTTATTTAATAAAATATGTTTATAGCATTAAAACCGCAAAGACTGCGTGATATAAATTCTTTTCAAATGGACTTTTAATCAGTCAGAGATGCATTACGACTGAGCTACTTTTACTGTAATATCTCCTAAAAAAAAAAAAATGCCAATATACTTATAGTGCTGTAGTCATGTTTACAATTGCAGTGAACATGTGAGTGGACTTTCTTAGCATGCATCTTTAGAGCTGCTAAAACTACTTTTGGCAGCAAAAACATCCACAAATATAAATCGCCTGGAAAAAAAAAACAATCCAAGTCAAACTGTTGTAGAAGTCAGAAACAGAAAAGCACCAGACTGGTGCATATTAGATAGAAGAGTGAATATTGTTTAATCTGTATTCTGCTTTGTTTCAAACTGCATCTAAAAGTAACAATCTCTTACATCCAAATATAAATCTAGGTTGAAGGGACTATAATTAGATCAATATATGAAATTAATTTCTGCAATTAAAGGCACATCCATCTGGAGCCATTCTGTGTCATTAACTTCCAGATAAGTAAAGCTTATTAAGTTCTTGAACACTCTAAATATTTTAACTCAATTGCAGCTGAAGATTACATAACTTGTGAAGCGGCATTGAAAACGGCTTAAGGTGCTCTGTAATTTCTCTCCATATGTATTATATTAATTATTTAGAACCCAAATAAAATAAGATATTTTTATCATGCATGGTGGATTTGAGTTGAACTTCAAATGATCCCTAGAAAGTTCTGTCTTTACAACACTTTCGACCTCTCCCCTTGGTTTGATCCCTGGCGTGACAGCAGACAGCTGAAAACCAAAACGTAGGTGTGTGTAAGGTGTGTGTGACAGCTTCTGTTACGTCTCATGGTTTCATGCTCTGAAAGTTGAGTGGCTCTTAGAGCAGTATGTAGGCCAAAGGTAACCGAGGCATGGTGCAGCTGCAGTGTTATTAAAGTACATTGTTCTTCCACTTTGTAGCTGGGCCTGGAGCGTTTCCATGGAGTCGGCATTCTGGGATTCAACTCCCCTGAGTGGTTCATCTCTGACATCGGCTGCATCTTTTCAGGGTGAGATTAGCGTCTTGATAAGATTTAATGTGAAATCTTAATATCTGGGTTAAAAAATGCTTTCAGCCCATCTTCTCTGTCTGTATTTCCCTGTGAGCCCATTTCAAAGCCTGAGTCCATCTTTCCTGGAACTGGTTAGGCATGTTTTTTTCCCAAGAGGCTGAAACAAGAAAGCTTAGAATCTTTGGTATTTCTTTTCTACTTCAATAAACACAGAAAATTTCACAATAAGCAGCATGAAATCACATACTGATACAATGTATGGATAATAGAGCTGTACAGAATCAGTTTATATCATATTATCTAATTGCTTCGAAAGCATTTATTTCTCATGTGTTTTTTCTTCTTGAAACTCTGGTAATGCTTTATTGTGTAGATTATCTGATGGGATGGTGTTAATTTGTCGGACCTCAAGCACTTAAGCAATGCATAAAAATGTAAAACAGTAAAAAAAACGATTTCAGCTGATGGGAAATTTACCAGCTTGTCTGCATACCTCTCCCTAGTAAAGCTGGAGAACCTGAGGGCAGGGTGGGGGGTGCTTCTGAAGGTGTTTCCTGGTTGTAGCAACATAACTTTTCCTTACCGAAGGTTTGACCAACCTTTTTTGAAGACATTTGCTACCTTGTTTATATATATTTTTTCCAGAAAAGATAAAAAAAATCTTAATGTTTACTTTTTTTTTTTCTTAATGGGGAGTGGTTGGTGGCATAGAGCTTGGAATCCTGAGGTTGTGAGTTAGGGTCCCACTCCCACAGACTGCCACTCTGGGTCCCTGAGCAAAGACACTTAACCCTACACTGCTCTCCAATGTGAGATCAATAGATTTTTTTTATTATTATTCTCTGAGAAAGTCACGCAGAGGGAAATGCATGGTAAATATTTAAGGGAGTATATAAAACTTTCTAAAACTGAACTCAAAAATAGGAAGAAAAAAAAAACAAATTGGCAGATTAAATTATTATTATGATAAAATTTTATAAAAAGATAAAGACTGACTAGAGAATTCTAACATCTGCCAGAGGAAAGAAAAAATAATGCATCATTAATTAACCTTTTTACTTAAATTATAGCTAATTTAGTAGAGTGAGCTGGAAGTTACTGAAGCTGTTTCATTGAGCTTTTTATGCCACAGGGGTCTGGCTGCTGGTATTTACACAACCAACTCGGCGGAGGCCTGTCATTATGTAGCAGCCAACTGTGAAGCCAACGTCCTGATAGTGGAAAACCAGAAACAGCTCGAAAAAATCCTGAAGGTCAGAAGGTTTATCACCGCATCTGCACTCTCTGTGTGCTATTTTAAAAGCTCTTTCTCAGTAATCAGTAACTACTAAAACACTGAGTCAGTGCCTTCAAATCTCTGTGTCTTCCCTTCCTGCAGGTTAAATATCAGTTACCTCATCTGAAAGCGATTGTCCAGTACAGAGGCGAGCTGCAACAGAAAATACCACACCTTTACACAGTATGTTGATGAATCAAACATTACGGTTGGGCTGATTTAATGTTGGCTTTGTAACTGGAAAATGATTGCATTTAGGGTGACTAAACTTTTATTTGTCACAGTTTTAATCAAACATCTTTACTTGCACAGTGGGATGAGTTTATGAAGTTAGGGGAGGATGTGTCAAATGCACAACTGCACACCGTGATGGACAGCCTGCGGGCCAACGAGTGCTGCACCCTCATCTACACCTCAGGAACCACTGGAAACCCTAAAGGCGTCATGCTGAGCCACGACAATGTGAGTCGGCTTTCCAACATCAGCACAAAAGAATTTTTATAATATAAATCTTAATTTGTGAACAGAGATGGGATTTGATTACATTATTTAATGATTACAAAAAAACTAGGATAATTACATGACCAAGTATGTGCCAGGATTTAAGGCTTCATAAAGATTTGCATTCGCTTCTGCTAGATGTATTATAGGATGCCCAGCTTTGAAAGATGGCATGTTGCTATCATCCTGCAGAAAAGCATGATAAAAACTCAGATTCATCAATCAATTAACCAGCAACCGCAGCAAGTCAGACTCTTGTTTTAATAATTCCTGGTTGCTTATCAGCATGTTGGTTGCCAAAAACTCCCAATATGAAAATGTTTGATACCCTTTTTTTGATCTGATCAATGCAGGAATTCCTCTTTTGGTTTCAACAAGATCTGTTAAATAAAACATTGAGCACACCGTTTGCCCTCTTGGCATTATGAATGTCCCTCCAACAACGCATATTGGGGACAGTGCAATCACAAATTAAGCCGCATAAATCTATAGTTTCAAACAACACTGCTGTTTTTTAAGCAGCCTGAACCTTAACTGCTCATTAAATCAGTTTTCTCCTCAAGGTCTAAATCTCTCCAAACATTTGGCTCTAAAATAAAGTTTTTCTAATAGCTGCTAAAAGTTTAAATGGTCTTCCAAACCTCTCTGACCCGCTTCAGCCTTTATGTTTCAGCTCAGGTTGAGTCCAGCAGCTTGCTTGAACATGTTTTAGGAACTCACTGAATCTTAAAAGAGGTCAGGTTTATAAAGAAGTCGCTCTTAAATTATAGAACAAGTTCCTTTTTAAAAATTGGAGAAGAGCTTCATTTCTGAACAGATTTTAAAACTAATTTTCAGGGGAGTTTTTAGACGGCCTGAGTCAGTTTGTTGTTGTTTCTCTTTTGATTTACTGCAACCATTTTAGTGCATTTTTATGCTTCTTTTACTGTCACTTTTATATTCTATTGTCTTTTTATGATGCTCTTATGTGTCTTGTTTTGACCCATCTTAATACTGTACACCTGGTTGGTTAAGCAATGTTTTGTAAATAAAAAGTATTTGGAATCAGGCCTCAGAATTGAAATAGGGGAAGTTTTGAAAAATTAGATGTGACACACTTTAGTGGTAGATTAGGTCATGTATTTAAACTCAAATGAGCCAGGGGAGATTATTGGGGTACACAAAAGACGGGTGTTCTTTCCTAAATTAAGGACAAGCTTACAATGTTGTGGCAAATACTCAACACAAAATTATTTATGAAACAAGCATTAAAATAGGTATCAAGGGTAGGGGTATGCAACAGTAAAACATAACTAATGTCTTTAATTTCCACTTTTACAGGAAATGGTTGTATAGATTTTATTAATGTGAAGTCTGTAGAGCTATTTTTCTATCCAAGTTTTACAGTTAAAGGTCAAGGCCCTCTCCTTGTTCTCTCCATCAGATCACATGGACCGCCCGTACCGTGTCCAAGGTAATCAATCCAAACTGCGGTGAGGAGGTGCTTGTCAGCTACCTGCCTCTCAGCCATGTTGCAGCACAAATGATCGACATTTGGTGCTGCATGAGCCTTGCAGGGACCGCCCATTTTGCAGAGCCGGATGCCCTAAAGGTTAACTATTGCAGTTTAGAACCAGTGTTGACATTAACCTTTGTTAACGTCAGTGCTGGTTGTTGTTAAAGTCACTGTTGTTTTTCTTTTCAGGGATCTTTAGCAAACACGCTGAGAGAGGCTCGTCCAACCGGTTTCTTGGGGGTTCCTAGAGTGTGGGAAAAGATGCAGGAGGGGATGAAAGCTGCTGCTGCCAAGGCGACCCCACTGAAGAAAAGAGTGGCAGAGTGGGCTAAGTCCATTGGGCTAGAATACAGCTACAGTGCCATGAGAGGGTGAGCGAGCTAAAAGCGGCTTTGGAGACGAAAAACAAATTTTTCACATTTGCAGGCATGAAAATGTACCATCATGTGGTCACATTTTAGAAGCTCTTTTAACTTGGACTTCAAAATCAAGCTGAGTCATAAAGTCTAGGATTCTACTAGAGAGTTTAACAAAATACAATAAAAAAAAAAAAGGAATGATTGTGTTCTGTGTGTATTTGCAAAAACCAGTGGTTCTGAAAGTTGATGACAGGACCAGCTATCCTTCCATGGTTATTTACCCCCACCCAAGCAGAGTCCCAACAGTTTAAATGTTTCAAACAACCGTTCAGAAACTCATCCGAATACAATCTGGGGGATTAAAAACATGCATAAACAAGAAAAATACAACCAGTTTGCTTTTTGTTTTGTCAATTTATCTTAACATTTTATATAGATGCATGGATAATGACATGTTCTCTAGGAGATAGGTGATCTGATCTCATTTTAATCTAGTTTATCCAAAGGTAAGGCTAGTAGCTTTAAATCCTGTTCATAAACTTACCTTAGTTTATTAAGATGTACCTGAGTATAAAACCACCTGTGTGACCTTCTGTGCTGCAGGGAGAACATGGTGCCATGGGGCTTTATGCTGTCCAACAATCTGGTCTTTAAGAAGGTTCGTGCTGCTCTTGGTTTGGACCGCTGCAAGCTGTGCTGCACCGGAGCTGCTCCGATCACAAAGGAGACCCTAGAGTACTTCATGAGCCTGAACATCCCAGTGAAGGAGCTCTATGGCATGAGCGAGAGTTCCGGCCCGCACACGGTCTCCATCACTGAGTATCGTGTTGGAAGGTGAGCAGCAAAGCATTATGGGATCTGTCAGAAAAATTAAAAGTTTACATGCACTTATAATGGTAATGGGTGTTATATCAGGTTGGCTTCTTCACAGATGCATTTGATCAACTTCTTAAAACAAAACAGACTTGGATCCACATGTTTTTACCTACTGGCATTTCCTTAGAACAAATGAGTTCATACATTCAATCACACTAAAAGCTGTGATTGAGTGTAATGAAATGATCAGCTGTAAATATGCAGCTGTTTAATTTTTATTAATTCAAACATTGTTTCCTACACGTTTTGGACCAGCTGTTTTTAGCCCTTTAACATTTTACCCTTGTCAAACTGAAGTTCAGTTCAGCTCAGCTTTATATCTGTGCTTTGTCTTTGCAGCTGTGGGAAGGTGATACCAGGCTGTAAAACGAAACTGGAGAACCCAGACTCAGACGGGAACGGAGAGATCTGTTTCTGGGGTCGACATGTCTTCATGGGCTACCTTAACATGCCAGACAAAACGCTGGAGTCTCTGGATCAGAGTGGCTGGCTGCACTCTGGAGATCTGGGAAGACACGATGAGGACGACTTCCTGTACATCACAGGAAGAATAAAAGGTAACGGTGTTTTTAAATAATTTTGTGTCCATCTAAAAATGTTTAAGGTATAGTGGAGGATTTTCATGATTTTTTTAAAAGACCTGCCCTCTCCATTTTGGAAGCAAAATTCACATGCACGACCCTGTACCCGCTCCTGAGAGGCAAAACCTATCAAACGCCTGCAAGAGCATGCACGGGCACATTTCCCCTCATGCATGTAAGTGAAAATTGGGCAATTGCGTAGGATGGACTTGCGTTAACATATCACCAGAATGATTGACAATTAAGAGAACCACTTATTTTGATTATCCACCCGGAAAAAAGAACATCCTCCACTATACCTTTAACATACTGAACTTTTAAATATCTGAGCTTTAACAATCACTGCCGTATGGAAATGATACAAGTCTGAGGCTTTTATGTGCCAAAAGGTCAGTTTTTCTTCCTAAAACTTGCCTTTAATCCCAGAATCCGTAGGGCTCTTTCCATGGATTAGTCCTTCTCACAAATATTAGTAAATTGTAAACCATCTTACACTGACTACACAGTAACGCTATACAAAAAGTACACACAATTTGATTAACTACTGGAGAGCACCTAGGGAAACTAATCAGGAACTAATGGGTTGTTAATCAGTACTTGCTGGGACACAGTCAGCCCAGCCTGATTACAGGACGACTGCTTAGTTACCGGGGAAATGCAGAGTAAATATGCAGGAACTAATGGGTCATTTCACTTTAAGAATACACAAAAACCTTAGTTAATGGTAAGGTGATGATTAAGTAATGAATAGTTCCTCTTTAGTTCAATCTTTGAACTACAAAGGTTGCATAATATGCAATAAGGGCACTTATTGCACATGCAATGTGTTTATTTTATTGGCACACAATCTAGAGCTCCTTGTTTGGATTCTTTCATGATAAGACTAATAATATTTTAATAAAAATTTTTTTTATAGAAGCTAAATCTTACAGCATACTGCATAACTGTGTTGTTAAGGTATGTTTTTTGCAAAGGTTATTATTGGCAGCAATTCTATACACCAGTGACGTCAATTCTTTGGTGTTAAAACCTTGCTTCCTCCCTGCTTAGCCTTAGAGAATTCAACTGAAACAAGTTTAACTAGTTTGTTAAAAAAAAAAGGACATTGTTTCACAAACAGGAAAAAACAAGGTTGCCTCATAATTCACTGCACGCAGGGAAGTTCTAATTTCACTAAATGAACACATGCACACAGACTAAACATGTGAAACTTTTTATCACTGATTAATTTCTTTAGTGTCCATTTTAGTTTTATTGTGTTAACCAGCTAATGAATAACTAACCCTGAAGGCAGCATAGCTATTGATGTTACAAGCAAACTCAGACTATACCCTGCAGCAGTGTGCCACAGTGAGCTTGTCGCACACATTTTTGGATGCATGCCCAATATTGAAGTGTATGTGCTGTTATTCCACGCCACAATGCAAGAGGGACAATAACAAGTTTGTGCGACAATGGAGGGACATGAGGGCCAAGAAGAGAGGGGATCCAGGTGGGAAAAGGGTTCCAGTGTTCTCCTGCACCTCACACTAGCTGGTCCATCTTCACGAGTCGTTTTCCACAATGGCAGTCATTAAAACAAAACAAGTCGCTAAGCTACCAAACAGGGGGAAAAAAAGGTACCAAATAGGAAAAAAGCATACGCCTTCAATTTAAGCGTGGTGCAGCAGAGTGTCTGCAGCAGTGGTGGAGGGACATCTGCGTTCACTGCGACAAACACACACAGACCACCTGGTTTCTGAGTATAAATCAGGCTTCATTTGTAATTATTCCAATTTTTTTTTTCTTAAATAAGCTGCACTTTATTGCTAAATAAGATTCAGTCCTTATTGATCTTTTTGATTATTGTAATATTTATTATACTTATTTTAGTATTTGTTAATATTGCATTATTTTTTTAGTGCTGTGAACCGAGTAAAACATGCAGTTTAAAATAGTTTTATTTTATACATTTCTCATTATTTGTGATATCTTATTTCAAACAGGATTTTAGAGTTTATGCAACTTAAAATGTGTATGTCTATCTTTATTGTTTCTAACATTGTCTAAGTCCTTCAGATGCAGCATCCCCTCCATTATTTACACATTTAGTTTCAATGCTTGGTCAAAATTGTTTGATAAATATTTTCTATTATTTTTGTTTTTCCTGTGTAAATAAATTTGCATTGCACTTATTAAATAAAATCTGCAGCCTTTATTGAAAACAGATTTTAAAATCAAGTTAGTGTGATATGCTATAAAATGCATGATTTGAATTAACAAAAACCTTCAGATTTTGCTGGACTCATTATTCATTTTAAGTACTTTTTTTCTTATGTTGAACAAAACTATTTAACACCCCCTCCCCTTCTTTTTTGGTACTTTAAAGATTCAATCACTTTTTGTGCTACAACTTTTGAGGAACTTCTAAACATCTGTAACATTATTTTGGCATTTGGACATCTCTTCCATCTCTATTTTGCTCATTTTATTTTTTCTTGTAGAGCTGATCATCACTGCTGGTGGTGAAAACATCCCTCCTGTGCCCATTGAGGATGCCCTGAAGAACGAGGTGCCCATCATTAGCAACGCCATGCTGATCGGAGATAAGCTCAAGTTCCTCTCCATGCTGCTGACACTCAAAGTAACTCTCTTCATTTCTGCAATCCTTCAAAAAGCAGCTGCATAAATAAACTGATAAGGACTGATGTTGTGTCCACAGTGTGTGATGGATGACAATGGAGACCCAACAGATGATCTGAACTCTGAAGCTTTGGACTTCTGTCAGCGGCACAGCGTACAAGCGACCAAGGTGTCAGAGATCATAGCCAATAAGGAACCGGCTATCTATAAAGCCATTCAGGAGGGTTTGGAGCGAGTCAACGCCAAAGCCACATCCAACGCCCAGAGGGTTCAGAAGTGGGTTATCCTGGAGCGAGATTTCTCGGTCGGTGGAGGGGAACTAGGTCAGAAACTGCCTTTGTTTTTCTCTTTTTCTTATCACGCTTTTATTATCACTGAAGATTTTACGATCATAGCCAGGGCGAAACAGCTTTCCAATGTTATTCATGGAGCACCAAACGGTGAAACTGAATTTCTATTGTTCAATCAGCTCTTCTTTCCTTTTCTTTTGTTTATACAGGACCCACCCTGAAACTGCGGAGGCCAATAGTTGTGAAAATGTATCAGGATAAGATCAACGAAATGTATGGGGCAGAAAGGCAGTGAATTCCTCAGCAGGGGAAGATGGGAGATTGGGTGGATTTATGTTGTCTAACCCGTCTCTTGTATCATATTTATGCTTTCAGATATTCAGTCTGTGTCAAAGTTGCACAACGTTTTGTTGATAAAAGTAACTTTGAAGCAAAGCCAGGCCTTCACACTTGTTTAATACAAGGAGAGCTGAAGTTAGGTGGCTTTTAAGAAAGTAAAGTTTTTACATTTTTATAGTGTTGAATGAATGTTTTATAAGCACTGATCCGTTTTTACCATTAAGCTGCTCAATCATTAGAAATGTTTTAACTTTTCATGTCTCAGAGTCTGTTTATACTCTGACCACCTCTATGCTCTGCAAAGAGGAAGTAGAAATGTTTCATAATGTGAATATAGAAGAATCCTATGTGCCTGTATCTATCCAATCCGCCCTTCTGCGAATTGTAAATCTAACATGAAATGTACAGTTTGACTCCTACTGAAGGTATATATTTATTGTCTGGAAATTGTCAAATAAAGTGAGTGATTTGGAGCAAATTAAACTGAGCAATCACTTTTTTTTTTTTTTTACAGTTTTAACGGTCCTAAAGCACCACTATGCAATTGATGTACTTTTTTTTTTTTTAAATAACAAATGCATATATTAAATCTTAAATTAATAATTTAGAATTGACAGCTATTATTAATACCCTGGTTTCTTTCTTCCCCCATCACAGTATTATATAATATACACTGCAGCTCATCAAATGGACCTCATTTATCAGTTAGCGTGAACACTTACAAAACCTAAAACCAGTTAAACTGACCAAGGTATTTGATGCCCTATCCTGAAATACAAGTTTGTTTTGTTAAATATTAAAGACATAAAGGCATTTGTGAAAAAAATCTTTTAATATATAAAATTATTATGTAATTTATGAATCATGTTAAAAAGATTTCAGAATGCACCTTGAATTTTGGCACATTTGGACCTCCGTACTTTGAAATTATATACAAAATCGGATTCATTCAGTAAATGAGGTATCTTTTTTTCCCTCTTTTTAAAGATTTTAATAAACCACTATTGTTCTCCTTTAGCGTTTTTAAACCTCTGCTTTTACTTTAAATGTTCCACGTTTTATAATTGTGTTCGTAGCAAATCCAGATTTATCTTTTTAGTATATTAGAAAAAAGCACACAGGAAAAAAAATGAAAGGTCAATTTTAATAATTATGGCACAACACTGCAGTCATGTGGCTGAATGTATGTACTACACTTTACCAAAAGAATGTGGATGACAGATTTTTAAGATTATAAAAACATGTTAATCCAGAGCGAAGTAAGATTAAGTTTATCAGACACACATTTAAAGGCAGCGATGATAATGCTTTATTCATATATGCACAGCATGGTTCACCCAAAGCACTACTGGTAGTATCTCACCACAGACTTAAAAAAAAAAGGCAAATTAACTTTAACCTTACATGAAAAGGTTAGAACATGAGTGGAGCATCCATTTATAGTCTGAACACACTAAATATAGTTAGATCCACATTTTGTTCAATATTCACTGAGTTTTGCTCCTCGGTAATTTTCATTATCACCTCTGCACTTGATCAGAACTTAAATTCTCTCCACTGAGTTGAAATCCAGGTTGTTTATAATGCTGTGCATTACAGGACTTTTCCTCTGATGGTCATTTGGAACGATGTAGGAAATCAGACTTTTATTTAAAAAAAAAAAGAAGTTTTTAAGAATCAGCAGCTTAACTGGATTACTTATAAACTTTGTTAAACATTACAACCACAGCGGAGATTGTACAGAGGAGTGTTATTTGGTTTGTTGCTGCATAAAGAAGGAAACTAGATTGAGCTGATAACCCTGCAATGTTAACTATTTTCAATGTAAAGGAGTTTCAACAGCATATTTCCTTACTGATGACAGTGAATTAATCTCCATGGTTAGACACTTCCAAAAACTGTTTGTGTTCAAACTTTCTTAAAAAGGTGAACCATTTCTGGTGCTCTCCGTTCACTTTGTGGTGATGGCGACTCCTTTCTTTACCCAGGCATTGCTGTTGAGCAGCGAGAGCATGAAGCGAGCCACGTCTCCTCTTCCTACAGCGGTCTGACCGCCGCTGTCCGGCACAAAATATCCCTCATGCGTCAAAAACTCCTGAGCTGTAAAGACAGCATTGATTTTAACCAATCCTTATTGCTTTCTCGTTTTCGAGGCCACAGAGAGAATGTTTTCACTCACCTGAGGCAGCCAGGTTCTTAAGGCCAGGAGGCCTGACTACGGTCCAGTTGATGTCCTCGCTTTTCTGCAGGAAGCGTTCCATCTCATACATGTTGCTGAGGACGCTTCGGATCATCGGCAGCAGGAGGAACCGGATTAGGAATGGAGACTGGGTTCCAGAGTTAGCTAAACAGTCAGCAAACAAAAACTCTCAAAATAAATCAGGAGATAAAACTTCTCAACAATAAGAAAAAAAGTTAAACAAGATTTGTTAAGCTTACATTCTAGAAAACATGATTTTTTTTTTTACAGATTAGAGTGGTTCTGGGTGATATGTACAAAAATACATATAATTTTTCTTTGTTATATAGTGTTAATGATTACTGTGATGTGGATTTAATTTAAAGAAACGATAAGCTGAACAATGGAGCCTTTAAGTTTTCAGTGATTTCCTGGAATTATAATGCAAATACAAGCTATTGTTCTGTTTAATGCTTATATGTTTGAATAGATTTGTGTCTTTATTATTCAATTAAAGAAAACATTTTCAATCAAAGAAAAGCAGTCTCAACTAGATTTTTTCATTCAAATACTTCTCGTCTTTGAAAGACACAAATCTCCCCTCATAGAGTAGAACCTGGAAATAAAGCAAATCCAGATCATAACAGTCTTCTCCATCTTATGAAAATGCCTTGTTGCTCTGGGCCTCATTTACTGCCTGTTAGGCCACATGAATTGTCCCTTTTATTGAATTTCAAAGTCTGTCGCTATCATTTTTATTGCATTTTTCTGCTCTTTAATAAATGATTGAAATAATTTTATTGCCCTTTACTACTTTGTTCTGGTTAATGAGATGCCAGAGAAAGCTCCAGAGTGAAACAGCATTGTCTGTCTCCAACCTGCTGCTGCACACTGAGGAGGCCCTAAATTTTTTCCTCACTAACAAGACAAACTAGTCACGATTGAACCATATCTGACTTCCAGAAACAAGGGCTTAACTGTATTTATGTTTGGTTAATGGCAAAAATGCTATGAAGTTTGCAGAAAGCAACTTTGAGAGTCATCTTAGATTTCAGTGCTGAGGTCCTGATCTGTGCAGTCTACTTACGCTCTGTGTACCAGGAGGTCATGGTGATGACCCTATTGACCCGGGTTTCTCTCATAGCGCTGACCACAGCAGCCATGGACGTAGTATAGCCTGTCACCCCATAGAAGAAGGAAGCAGGAAAGCCGAGGCAGGACATGACCACATCCTGGTCTTTGAAATGAGGCTTCAGGCTGTCTGCTGAGAAAATATCAGCCGTCACCACCTGGAAACACATCCAACAGGTCAACATGAAGGGTTTCCATCTTCATTCTTTCATGCAAGGAAATCCATGTTTTCCAAAGTAAAACTAAAAAAAAAAAAAGAGCCCAAATAAACAATGCTTTGTTGTGACGATGGTTGAGTATATAATAGAATAGGTTTTTTTTTCTCCCAAAAGTAAACTCCCTCCAAAATGTATTCCCTGAAACAATAAATGATGCCTGCAAAAAGTATAAAATAAGAAACTATGAACTTAACGTGAAAAAAAATCAGCCTTCCCTATAAAAGAAAAAAAGTTAAATAGATAAAGGATGCATTTAGGCCTGTTAGTCTATGATAGGCATAATGTCTCTTTCTGGGATTTGATATCTGGTTCTGGAAAGGTTCAAATTCAACACATCAAAGTTCTGCCGGACTTTCATCTTCAGCCTAATTTTCTGTTTTTAGCCCAGTTTGACTTATTAAAAAAAAGCGCTGAGGTCAGAGTGATGGTGTGATCGTTAGCTGTCAGGAGTTCTATGAAATCTCCAAGTGTTATACAGGCCTTCGGCTGTTAAAGGACTGCGGTTTCTCTATACTGCCTCCCAGTGGTGGAAAAAGGTTTAAGAGAAATAAACAGACCGGCAGCACAATTGCTCAATAGATGGGTCACATTCTGATTTGATCATATTATGATTTGAATTATACATTATAATTTCCCTCTTTTCGAAATAAACATGTACATGTTGTTTTTGCTGAACCATCCAGCTCATTTCTCTCAGACATCAAAGTAGCCACAAAACAGCAGCTCAGTGGATATTTCTCCCGTTTAAGAGATCATTATCTGTGTAACTCTCACATTCATTTAGAATAAAAAAAAAAGTAGAGTAGAGTAGCTTCTGAAATATTCAGACAAACTCGTTTGTTACCTGAAATTCCCTAAAATCCACTTTCCTCCCTTCTTTGATGCTTAACTTCTGCACTTATAACATTCATGCTACAGAGCTATTTAAGGTATTGGGCAGTGTATAAATGAATGGAGTGACTGTTGGCTATGACTCCATGCCTATTCATCACAAACTGTTTCTTAACTTCAACCACAGCAGGAGTTTATTTGGGAACAGAAAAATTCACCATGGTAGAGATAAATACGTTCGTATTATGGCCTCATCAGTGACTGTTATATTTATAGGTAGGCAGATTGAAGAGAAAAAGAATGTGTTAACTTTTGGACTAAAATAAAAAGCTTGTCAACATTTTGCTATAATATTAGTTACGATAAAGCTTTGAGTTATAACAATAAAAACTAGAAAAGCACTCAGAGAGCACAGACCTCAGCCAAGCAGCGAATTTTGCCCTTGTCTATCAGCCTGACAGCATGTCTATCTGCAGCCTCTGGTGTTTGTTCTGCTGACACCTTCATTCACTCTGCTTTCTTGTTTGATCAGCAGATCGAAACTTCAAGCGAGGCATGGCTCGCCTTTCCTGTATGTTTTTTCTTCAGTAAAGTCTGGACTTTTTTGAGTCCGACAGTAAGGCTGTCAATAGTTGCTGTTGCTACTCTGGTTTTTGGACTGTGGTGCACTTTTTTAAAGTGTACAGGATAACTTTTCAAGTTATCCTGTACACAGACAGACGGCCAAATAAACAAGCACTCAAACTTGACTAAAATCATAACCTCCTTGGGAGTTAATAACATATTTGCTCCTTAAATGCTGCAACTGTGACACAAGATCATGCTGAAGGTGTTTCTTCATAAAACAGCTGACCTTTGAGCCTTGGTTTTTATTACCTTTAGGTTGTGATGGTGCACTACAAGCTTAGCAGGGTTCCTGACCACAGCGGTGACCGTGTGGCCCTGCTCCAGCGCCTGCTTGACCAGATACTGTCCAGTCTGCCCAGTGGCTCCCAGCAAAGCAATCTTCATCTTCTGAAGCTTAAAGCTCAGTCAGGAGTTAAAAACCGACCAGTAACTGTTGGGGATGAATCACTTTGATGGCTTCAACCAGCTGTGCTAAGGCGTTCTCTTTGTTGCACAAGCAAAAGCGTAAAAAAAGGATTACTGCATTGAGACAAACACGCCCTCTCTCACACATTATGTTTTTATCATATGACAGAGATCACAGTGGAATTCCAGTCTGAATTACACAAATTAAAATGTGCAAGAAAGATGTAATCTTAATTAATGTGAAATACATTTTCTCCATAAAATCAACTAAGAAAAACAGCAGATGGCCGGATCTAAAGCATTTACAATTTGGATATATCCAAAATCAAAAAAGACCTGTGCATGCATTTTTCAGCGCAGTCTTTAAAACATAAAAAAGAAATGGAACAGTCTAAAATGAAATACACAAATATTGAGTTTTAAATCAAAATGGATACACAACTAGAAGTTTTGTTGAATTATTTTCTAACAATTTGGCGAAAGAAAAAGCTTAAAAGCATCATCTTTTCTGGACATTATCAACTACATTTAGTACTGCAGCACATCTGATCTGAAAAACATTTTCATATTTGTTTTTTTTTTTCTCCTCTCTATAATTGGTGCAGAAATTGATGGATTAAAAAAACAACAACAACTAAATTAAAATCAGAATTATTCAGGGCAATATGGTGCAACAATACTTAGAAATATAGCAGACTAGTTGGATTTGTTGATAACATATTGTTGATTATATAACACCCAGAAAAGAGCAGAAATAACTTTGAAACCTCATTAATCAGGTCAAAACTGCAACTACATACACCTGTCATGGCACCTCATCTTCACAGATCTAACGCTGTGCACAACCGCTGTGAAAAACATCGTTTTAAACCCGTTGAACAGTAACTACTTAGTATCTACATTTAGCATGTGACCCTGATCCACTGATGCAGCAGAGAGGATGGATTTGGTTTAGATCGGGTAAAACAAACGAACACATTGTGAAGACAAAATTAACTTGTCAGTAAAATATTTCGGGTTTCTCCCTCAATCTCCACTAACAGAGAGATTTCAACAGCTGAAAAGAAGTGCTGAAATGGAGCTGTGATGTCTTATGTACCAAAGTCTTTTTTTCATAAACAGTGTTAGCTGCTTATTGAAAATATTGAATAAAAGTTAAGAAGCTGCAAAACATAATTAACACACAACTTAGATTTCATTTTATGTGTTTTTTTTTTTATTCAATTGGTACAGATGAGTACAGATGGAAAAGAGTGGCAAAACCTTGGACAAATGGCTGCAAGCTGGACTTTTGTCTCATTACAGGAGGTAAAAGTTCAGCCAGGTGCCTAGCTCAAGCAATCTGTCAATTCATATCTTCAAATCTATAAGTAGAAATGAAGAACTCCATATTTGTTATTCTATGAAGCACAAAATCTTTGTTATGTGGATCTACATGATCTCATCAACTTTTTTTAAAAAAGGCTTGGTTTTGCTGCAGAAAGAACCCGCCTCACACCTGCATTATTTAAAGCTGAATTATTTTAGGAGAAAAATAAAATCAATAAAATAAATGAGCTTTGATCTGGTGTTGGCATATGATACTGAAATATAAGAAGTCTTTTACTCCTATATGTCCTCACAAAGCAAGCACCTTTATGCAGCTTTTTGTTTAAACCCTCTCCAGGCAGATGTTGCCACTTAGCTAATTACTCCATATCCATATTTTAAGAGCTTTTGTTACTCAGAAGTACAACAGAAGGACTTAGTTGTGAATTTGCAACAAACAGTTTCTCTCCAGCTCACCAGATAACACTGCTGACTCACTTTCAACAAGGCTGAGTCCTTGGTGTCACTGAAACAGATTTTCTAAGCACCAATTTCATATAGGTATCACCACCAATTTCCATTATTTTGAAATCAATACTACATAAGATGAAACATGAATGTGTATAGATATGACACATGCCAATTAGTAGATTTTATCTCCTCTGGGTTTTTCACCAGAGGTATCTCGATTTCAATGTTGTGGATTCACAACGTGTGCCCAAACAGGTACCGATGGATGCTAGATGCTTTATCTACTAGTTTGTCTATATTTTGAGCAACAGTTTAACAGAAAGGGCCTTTTAAGAAGGCCCTTTCTGTTAAACAAAAAAAGAGGTTTTGAGATGTCGATGGAGAAAAAGTTTGAGAAAAAGTTGTCTAATTTTGTGAGAATTTTCTTTTTTTTTTTTTTGTTAATTTATTTTTTGTGACATTCAAATAAAGGTAACGTTCATATCAGATTCAGTCTTCAGTGTTAATTTACCACTCCGGGCCACTGTTGCAAATCTGCAACATCCCAGAATTTATTGCATGTGAAGGTCTCTCTCAAAAAAAAGTCTGAATTGTATATTACTACCCAATATGATCATTTTCTCCATTATCAGATTTTTCTTGCAACTACAACTTAATTTGAGCCTGAGAGGGTTATTAATAAAAATAAATAATAATAAATCGAATATGATTTAAGGCTTAAATGAAAACCAGCTCTCAGTCCTTTAAATTTGTATTGTTTCAAACTGATTACCTCAGCCAAAGAACCTTCAACATGTTTTTTTTATTTGTAAAGCTGTTTAAAAAGAAAAAAAAAGAAAAACTAACAAATTGAACATGTAATCCACAGGCCAGGCAATAATTAAAGCAATAAAAATCAGTATTCCTGGGGAAAAAACAAACAAAACAAAAAACAGATCAGGGAATCTCTAAGTACTGAGTTTTATTATTAATAGTATATTTAAAAACATGTATAGTGAAAAATTATATATGATTTCGGTTTTCTCTTTGCTGAGATGTCTTTATAGTCTCTGTATAAAATGATGTTGTCAGAATGTTATCTCTTAAAGACACAATCAGACATCCCATCCCACAGTTAGCAGAAACAGAAAAAAAGGAAACTACAAAGATACTAATATTGCTCAAAGAAAGCAAACTTCTCTCAAAGACATTAAGGGAAAATACTAAACAATTTCCCATTTAAATAAGGATTAATGACGATAAAAACTTTAAACTTCAGATTTTTTTTCCTTCTTAATGAGGTTAATTGTGAAGCTGTTCAGGTGTAAAATGTGGTTTACGATCGGCTGGTGGGAGTTTGTTTAAAACATTTCCAAATAGTGTTACTAAGCTTTATGTGACCTCTGAGTCTAACATTATCTAACCAAAGTCAAGTCTCACTCAAAGTTGTGTCCAACAACATTAGCGACTCATACGGTGTTACAGATTTATATGAAAACCTTTAAAGTGGCAAAATACAACTTAAGCAAAACGAATTAAAACCATTCTGTAGCCATGAAAAGCACAGTGAACGCTAGCAGCGTTAGCTTTAGCTTACCTACGCCATCTTTGTTTACGTTTACAATGGAGGTGCGTTCAAGAGCGCCAATGTGAGCATGTGTTTGTAAACCAAGGCTGCTGATACTGACTGTGGTTAATTGACACTCAGAGGTTGAAAACTAATTGAAAACGGTTATAACAGACTTATAAACGCACAAATAAATAATAATGTGTAAAAACGATATTTTCTTATTAGTCAGCAGGAAAAAATGTAAGACTTAAACATTTTGATTTACTTCTCATAAGTGAACAGCAATTTAATCTGTTATTATTGGCAACTATGTATTTTTTCCATTTGTGATGCACTGCATCTCAGGTAACATACAGGGTCAATTATCTATTATTTATTATAGTTATTTATAGTTATTATTATACTTTATTATACCGTAGTTAGTTTGTTTTTCTATTGATTGAGAGGGACAGGGGCTTTGCTTAGCTCCTCTCTTCATGTAGGCTGATCCAAATGATCTTTCTGAAAAGGTTTATTTCAGGTGCTTCACATATTTTTTTTCTTGCAAAATTAGAAGTTAAACATTATGGTTTCAGCTAGATTGTTTATGTTGGTTTGACATTATTCCTACATAAATCCAGGTATGTGACACTACAACCACATAATCTGATCTGGTCTTACATTTTCCAAATAGGTTTCAGGTTCTGCTGTGGCTCTATTTAAAATGGACTTTCTATCTTTACAAGGTGGCAAGATCCCATCAGGACAATGTCGAAAATCCTTTTAAGGAGACCTCATTACGTGTGCTCATTTAAATTTTCCTCAGATAACATGTAAACACCCGGCGAGTCTCCTGCTGTCAAAAATCCTCTCCAAACCAGATGTCACCTCCCTTCTTGCCACCACAAAGATTCCTCTAGTCGCATCAAGTCATTAGGCAAGATAATCCACTTGAGGCCAAGTGCTTTGATTATGAGATCACAGACAGGGAGCCAGGACTAAAGAAGCTTCACCCCAGTAAGGAAGAGTTGAACAGTAAGGGTACCATCCAATATGGAGCCTCTGTGTTGACTTCCTGTTCTTGTTCATCCACCTACAATGATCAGACCAGCTCACATTAATACCTGACCTGATCCCGGTGGACCTGTGGAGAATGCAACGGAGCAAAGGACTCTTTAAATTCACACTGAAACAACAAAGAGACAGCCAAATAACTAGGGCAGCTGTTACTGGATAAAGAAAGTTGTCAAGTAAGTAAACATCAGATTTAAAGTTGCCAGCAGGTGAATGTTTTTAGATGTCACTATATGAAACAGAACCAAAATTTTCTCACTCAAACTTTTGATGTTTCTATCACCATTCAGACTTTTCTTTAATTATTATTTTTTAAGTAATTTGAGTTTCCTTTGTTTTGTTCTCAAAATATTCAAATTTTTACAACTTTAATTAGAGGATTAAAAATACCTATGTGGATGTAAACTTATAATACTGTTCTGATTTCTTCAAAAACTTCCATAAATAAAATAAAAACATTTCAATATAAGACATCAATAAAAGTCCTATATTTAATGTGTCCTCTTTTCAAGTTCCAGTTAGGCAGATGTTTTTCAGTTTCTCCAGAAATTTGTGGTAATTTTCGTTTTTTTTATTGTTTTATGTAAGGCTTCGTAGAATTGAGACAAAAACAGTCCAGTGAGGCAGGATTGAGGCCAATCACAGTGGGAAGCAGTAGACCAGCACTTAACAAGATTAAAGCATGAATGGCCTCCAGATTTAGCTCCTCTGCAGCTCAAATGTTCCCAACTATTATCTGAGGTCTGGACCAAAACAGAACTGTTTTAAAATGAGACTAATATACAGTGTGTGTAACCTGTCTTATATATCCTCTAGTGGTATCCCAGCCGTTACATGTGCATACTCCTGTTTTTAATCATTCTGCATTGTATTTCAAGTTTCTCACTAATATCATGGTTTCTTTGTGTCCTCAACAGGAACAGTCATGGGATGTGGCGTTTCAAGGTCCAACCAGTTCCACAAACACTCCAGAAAAGGTATAACATAAAGCTCTTCCATAAAACAGAAAAATACAATCTATATTTGATCTCATATATGCAAATTATATATGTATATATTCATGAATTGTCCGTCTCTCTGCTTCTGCTCTGCTGCTCTCAGCCGTCACCAGTAAGTTACTTTTTTTACCCTGCTTTTTGTGCTTGTATCATCATTTTATAGGATAAACTAAATCCCTATATTTTTAGGCAGAAAACTAAGACTTAGATTATCTGTGTGTGAAAAAAAACACAAACCTTGCTGCTTTGAGATGACCTAGATACCGCCCTAAAGTCCCACGTCCCCAACAATCAAAGCTGTTGTGTCTGAGCGACTACAACCATGTAGAACACACATCTCAAATCAGTTTGCAGTGCTTTGAGAGCCTCGTGCTGGGATGAGTACTTATCACACCAGAACAATATCAACATATGTACAAAGATGCTGTTTGTTGAAATCCCCTCAGCATTTAATTATTCCATCCCATTCAGCCAGATCTCTGTAAACATTGAAATATTAAGTCAGCTAAAATCACTGTCCAGAGCAATGGAAAGCCACAGGGCAGTATGCTTAGTCCCCTTTGCTTCCTTTAAACCTATGATAACATGTTTATTGCTTAAACACAATAACAAAGTTTATGACAAGATAATGGTGATTCCCTTTTTTTAGAAACTATGACCAAATAGCCTTTAGACATGAGACAGACTGGTTTGTTGAGTAATGGGTTTGCAATAACCTGTTCAATGACACCATTGGGACTAAAGCGTTTAATGTGAAGCACAGGTGAAAGCAGATAGCATCTTCACGCCCCTTTATATCAAAGGGATGCTGGTTGAGCATATCACCAGGCTGAAAATCACATTATCACTAAAATCTTTTCAGTTGTTAAAATTTAACAACTCTAAGACCCAGTATTTCTTTACAAGTTCAGGTCTTTAGTGGCTTAAGGTTAAAGCTTAAAATATGAGACATGAAATGTGCAACAATAACTTTATTTAAGAGTTTTTTTTCTTTTCTTTTTAAAATCTCATTTACTCTCTATAATTCAGCTATAAGAGCAGCTGTTCTAATTCAACGATGGTACCGGCAATATGTTGCTCGCACAGAGATGAGACGGAGATATACCTGGCACATCTTCCAATCCATCGAATACTCCGGAGAACAGGCCCAGATCAAGGTAAGAAAGCGCTGCAAATAATCAGATTAGCAGATAAGTCAAATAAATAAATAAAAATGCAATCTAAACCTTCATTCCTCCCTTCTCTTTGCAGCTTTATAACTTTCTTGGCTACCTCATGGACAATTTCACGCCATCCAGCACAGAACGTATGATAGTTCTTGTATTATTGAGATAATTGATGCAGTTTCAAAACAATCAAACTGAGCTTGAACTTTGTTGATGTTGCAGGAAATTTGATCTCGCACATCTTTCGAGAAAATGATGTCTGTTGGGACTCAGAATGGGAGAGATACTTCTGCTACAAGAACATTGAAGTGCCGGAGGTTTACTCTGGGCCTCATCTCACCTTCCCCCTGACGGTGGAGCAGGCAGTCGGCCTCCTGGAAGCCTTCAGAAATAAGAAAGTAGGAGCTTGCAGTGTTCACATGTTCTTAGCTTGTGTGCAAAGATAAAATAGTGAATGAGAAGTTGTAAAACAAGTGGTGGTACTTTTATTTAGGGTAAAATGATGCACTGCAATAAACATATATTTTGAGACTTTTTTTAATACATTACCAAAAGTAACAAAAAGTGTTTTGTTATTATTGTCAGGTGTTTGTTCTTGGTTTCCTTTAAATGATGGAACATATTTCTAAAATGACAGAATCAGTTTAATATCCAGGAAAGTGTCTGCAGCCATCTTTTCTAACTCATCTCTGTCCCAGTAGCAGCTGCACTCTCGCTATGTGCTCGAGTTGCTCCTGGAGACGTGGAAAGTACTCCGCATGATGCCAAACATCAACCGCATCTCCACCTGCCAAAGCAAAGAGGTCACTATTTGTGGTAAGATTTACACAAGCAGCAGGACTGTCTTGGCATTTATGATAATTTCCGATAAAGTTTGGTAGATTTATCTAAAATATGACAATTAAGCCAGAGAATACTTCTCAGTGATTTTTTTATGAAGGCACTTAGGAACTGTCCCTTTGTTTAAGTATGTTCCTTTTTCTTCTGTGTGATCTCCTGCACAGGTGATTTGCATGGACAGCTGGAGGATTTGTTGCTGATTTTTTACAAGGTTAGATACTGTAAGAACTATATTTTTAGCTTTTTATTTGCTCATTTATATTTGAACAGATGAACTCTTATATATGAATATAAAAATTCCTTCCAAAGGTTTTTATATCCATTGAACCTTCTCACAAATGAGCAATCATGTAACCGGAAACATCTATTTGTCTATATTTATATATCTGGAGACTATGTCATAAAAATCAGATAGTTTTTTGCAAAACAACACATTTTAAATTGGATCGGATGGAAAACTTCTAGGCTTTTCATTATTCATCTGTGCAAAACTTTCTTTAAACTCTGACCAGCTGTCCTGTCCCTACAGAAAAACACACAATAATAATAATTTCATGTTCAACTATGGGGATTATGTTTTCAGGGAGATACCACACATAGGGCCGGATCTATCAAAGGTTTGCGTGTATACGTGAGCTATTTCACTGCGCACGCTAAAAAATGTACAAACTGATCTATCAACAGCGTGCTAAAAGGATTTGGTCTTTAAAACGTGCTAAATAGCGCCTCTGATCCATTTAGTACTTTTTCTGCAATGAATATGCAATATGGGGCGTTTACACGCTAAAGTGCGTCTTGTGGGAGGAGAACATGTAAATATATTAATTTAGCACTCGCAAAGGGATTTATCAAACTTGAACGCAATTTTGCTAACGGTATCTGACTCTATATTTAACACGTTTCAAAAGAAGGTGCAAATGGTCTGTATGCGTAATTGTGCACACATGGCAGCAGTTATTGTCGCAAGAAGGAGACATTGAAATGCAGCAAGGAGACGCAGAGAACGCATTTTTTCACTCCGTGTGAATATTTTTGGAATGAACGAGGAAACGATCATCAAAACATATCGTTTATCCAGCATTGCCATTTTGGAGCTGTTGGGGGAACTCCGAGTGGATTTGAAGCCAGCCACAAGGAGGACCCACGCAATACCAGATATCACAAAACTCCTTGCAACGGTGCACTTTTTTTGCATCTGGGTCATTCCAGCGTACGGTTGCAGCGAGAGCTGGGATCTCCCAATCTCGTTTTTCAGAAGTGCTGTCCGACAGGGTCGGGGTTCTCCCCCTGCGCCTGTGGAGCAACATGCCAATGCTGCGGGGATGCGTAATCTCATCCACAGTCACTTCTTGTGAGCCATTTGGTATGTGCATTTTTCTACAGGCCAATACAAAACACATGTTTTTTTTTGTTTGTTTTTTTTTTGTTTTTACTGCAGTGAAGTAGAAATTCAGCCACATACCACCTTAGGGAATAAAGGTTGCCAAAGTTTTTTCTTTATATATCACTGTAAGATTTTAATTTCGTAATGCACTAGTTTGTAGAAACTACAAACTACTTTGCCGCAAACCACAAAACGCGCAATACCATCATTTAAATAGGGCGTCTCCAACAGTTTTGCACCTGCCACCAGTTACGCAATCGCTCTTGTTAAATCACCCTCAAACCATGGTTCAGCCCCTCGCGCAAAATTCCAGTTTGCGAGCGCAAATTACTGCACGCAAAATTGGATCTTGATAAATCCGGCCCATAGAGTGACATTTATGTTACAAATTTTAAATTTAGTCTCATTTGATTATAGCCCCTTCTTCCATCTTTTCAGTGTCGCCAGCCTAGCCTGTAAAAAGTACTTTCTAAAAGTTCTTATCCCATGCTTATAGATACCTTATCTCAGAGTTATCTTGACAATGAATGTTCCCATCTGAGCTTGATCCCTGCAAAGTCTCCAGAGAAGTCACTTCCCATTTTCAAACTATGTATTGAACATGTATTGTACTCCATGGGATATCAAAAGTCTGGGATGCTGTTTTCTAAACCCAATTTAGCATGTTTTTCCTGACATGTCAGCGTTGCTCCAAATAAATAGAGCAGCTCTATTTATTATGAGATGGGATCACACATAGATGGACTTTATTTAATAATAAGGTAACTTCTTCAAGAAAAAATGCTGCAATGATATTTAATTAGGAGTTTAAGAGTAAATATGACTTAATGCAAATGCTTGCCACTTTTTATTCAGTTTGTTATGTGTAAATAAAAGCCACATATGGCTGTGATGTGACCAAATGTAGAAAAGGTTAAGAGGTAATAATGTGTTTATATTAATTAAGGAGAAGTTTAAATGGTTAAAGATGCAGGAAAAAAAAATTAAATATACTTTTAGCAAATATTTTAATTAACTTTTGTCAAATAATTAATGATGGTTTCTGTATGAGTTAAACGGCATATATTCGTCACACATATGATTGAATAGACTAGGATTTTTTTTCTTTTGAACAGAATAGCGAAAAACTTTTTATATCTCTTCACTTTTCTCTGCACTGCACAGCTGTTTGTATACATACTACATATTATCCTGATAATCTTGCTTTTATTTGCCCTTGTTTACCTTGTAGAATGGCATGCCATCCTTAGACAAGCCCTATCTTTTTAATGGAGACTTTGTTGATCGAGGCAAAGACTCCATCGAGATTCTCCTCATCCTGTTTTCCTTCATGCTCGTTTATCCATGTGATGTCTTCTTAAACAGAGGAAACCATGAGGACCACATCATTAACCTCAGGTAAACATTAAGCTTAAAAAATTTTGGGATTTTAATGCTCTGATGTTGATAAAACAGAGCCTCCTGTTCCCTCTCAGACATTCTTTGTTATGTTTCCAGGTATGGGTTCACCAAGGAGGTGTTGACAAAATACAAGGTGAGTTTTCCCCCTGTACAACTGCAGAGCACCTATGCTTTTTCTTGATAGCCTAGGAATAACACCCCTGCTTGGCTAAATATGTTACTGAGGCCTCTGTGTTGCTAGAAAGGCACAGAAAAGCAGGCCCTCCTCGGGTCAGCTAATTGGATTTCAGGTTGTTAAACCAGTACACAGCAGGACATCTGCCTCCTGATGAAAAGTCCAAAGACTGGATGAGAAAAAATTGTTTTCCGTTATGTGGCACACATTCTGAGCTGGCATCTGGACTTAGTTCAAAATCCATCAATCTGGAAGCAGAAATGTTACTGTTTCTTTAAGGAGCTGCAGCTACAAATTTACCCATTAAGTCCAAACTTGGCACATTCACATCATTGAGCTGGTTGTTCCAAATGCTGAAGGATTTGGTAAAGAGTATCCCCTGTTTATTTCATGTCATTGTTGATCCAAAAATACACTTGTTGTTGTATTGTGTGTATGAAAATAGTTGTGGCTTACAGGAGGTATTAACAGCATTTGTTCACATTTTGGCACATTAAAGACAAACATCATGAATTTTGTTGGGATTTATGTGATAGATCAACACAACAAGCTTACTAGTAAGAAGAGTTTACAACGCTATTCTCACAAAAACCTTTATTTTGTGATATACATACATTGTTGTTAAAATAATTAGATTATAGGGAAGTTCTCACTTACTTGATTTATCACACTCATACTTGTTTTCAATCTTTTGTTTTTCTCTGTTGTGATGAAAACACTTGTAAGATCTCAGAAAAACAAACCACAACAAAAATGATCTTTAACAAAGAAAAATAGTCTTGATGAAAAATGTTTTTTTATAACAACCTAATGGTTGAAATTCAAAAAAGTACTTTTAATTTGAAAAAATACTTTATCAGAACACATTCTAATTCATTACATTTGTACATATTTGTATTCAGGTGCCTTTACTCTGAAACCTCTTAAATAAAATGTAGCTCAACCGGTTTTCTGCAAATGTCCCAATAGATAGCAGTATAAACGCAAGCTGTTTTGTGACGATCTTAGATGTGAGAATATTAGTTAACAAACAGCATCATCAAGACAAAGGAAAACAACAGACAGGTCATAGGAAGCTGATGAAGCAGGCTAGGTTTTAAGACAATATTCCAAACTTTGAATACTTAATTGATCAATCCATCATGTGAAAAGCAATACTAAGACATGATTATTCACCTTAAATGGCAAAGGAAAGCATTAACTGAGGATTACGTAAACTGTTGATAAGAGAGGATGAAAATCACCCACACACTCCACTACTATGGATTTGTAATTTTTAATGGAAAAAGGACCATTGAATGTCTGATTTATAGTTTGACATAAACCATTAAGGAGAAATAAAACAAACATGTAAAATAATGATGTTTGATTCCAACGGGACTTGAGGGGAATTGAGAAAATGCTGAAATCTAATATTTTCAACCAGCACAAAACTCAGCTCTATGTTGTTGGCAGTGTGATGCTTTCCTGGCTCTAAACACAGACAGGACTGTAAGAAACCCTGTGAGAGGCTACGGCGGACATAAAACTGGTGCACAGGTTCACCTTTCAGAGGGACGTTGGCACCAAGTATAGAGATTGATAGTGTAGTCATACCTCTAGAAATAATTATCTCAGTGGACGGATTTCAAAAGCATGTTGCGCTTTTTTAATCCATGCTCAAAACAGCTTGAATCGCATCCCTTTCTTTACACTTCACAGGTATCCAATTTTCTGTGTTTCAAATATACTTTTGCAATCAGTAACATATTTAGCAAAAAGGGTTACAAATATTTCTAAAGAATGAGTAAACAAATGCAAGTTTGTAATTCTAATGTGACAAAATGTGAGAAAGTTCAAGAGGAAGGAAAACTTTTGAAATATTTAGAAACATTTTGAATTCATTTTGAAATAAGCTTAAAGCACAGGATGTTTACTAGAAAATCCATAAACTTAAAGATGATTTGAGTTGCCTTTCAAACTACAGGAATTTAAAACAATTCCATTCTTCAAAGCTGCCATGTCTTAAACTAAATGTTATGAAATTCTGACAACAGTTTAATTTCCACTTCAGATTCATGGGAAGCGGATTCTAAAGCTGCTGCAGAAGATTTTCAGCTGGTTGCCCTTAGCAACCATCATTGATCAGAAGGTGCTGGTCCTCCATGGAGGTATCTCCGAAAATACAGACCTCGGCATCCTGGCCAAAGTGAACCGACATAATGTGAGGAATAACCACACTCAAACTTATTTAAAACACATTATCAAAGCCTTTACATCCCGTGTCTCCTTTGGTCCTGCACCAGTATGTTTCAGCTCTGCGACCTCCCAAGAGGAGGAACCACAGCCCAGCGGTCATGTCTATTGACATAGACCTGGATAACGAACTCTGGAACACCAGCAGGATCCTCCAGCGTCGGGCCTCCTTCACATATCCTGAACCCCTTGGCCCGAAGGATTGCTTCCACAACCGTTCGCTACAGGACTTCTCTAACCGGATCAAGGCCAACACGCATAACGAGCTGGAGAACAGCAAGAAGAAAGAGGATATTCTGGCAGCAGCACTCAGCAGATCACAGCAAGACGTTTTGTCTCTGTCCACTGACTCTGTAAGCAGTGATAATGTCAAGGAAGATTGGCGGCAGGTAAGAGAGCCTACAGTCTTCTCACAGACATTTGGAATTAATATTCCAATAAAAATGATATGACATTAAGACATCCAAAATTTCACATAAATGCTGCACATTAATGTGCCAACCATCCAATTTCTTGAATTCTGATTTTCCAATCACTTCAATTACCACAAATGGATTAGCTCCAACTATTGGCTTTTGAGAAAGGATGGGCCATTGCTAGGTTCTGTGTGGATTCCAGGATGGTATCATGCCCTGAAAGAATAAATACTTCAATATGTCCGGTTATAAATTTTTCAAACTATCAAATACAGCAGAGGCTATTCGGTAAATGCTGGTTCTAGAGTCTTTGCGAACCAAAAGAACACCAGTAAGATGGTTAGCTTCTAGAAGACCTGACATATATACCAATGAAGCAATCCCAGAAGAGTTGAGGCTGTTAGGGCCTTTAATGATTGGCCGACATTAGATAATGTTAAATGGCTTTTTTTTTTTTTTTTTTAGAGATACAGAGATAATAAGTTATGTTCAACAATGTGATTGTTTGATATGAAAGCAAATTCTTTGCTATATACTGAACTTACAAACTGATCACTCCAAGAACAACAAAAGTGCATTCACAAACATCACTACTGCAACTAAAACAGTTTCAAATGTGGCAGCCATGTTAGACTTTCTTAATTCAAACGTACAGTGCAGAGGGCTAATCATTTTTCAGTTGTTGTTATGGTGGCACTTGGAGACCTTAGTATTTATTCAGTTTGCACTGTTGTGCAACTTTAATGTGTTTATTATCCACCCCAGTAGGGATGGTAAATATCTTATTTATCAGATATTAATCGTACTGTCATATATTGTTTATCAACACACGCCCTATTGGCTGTGTGTTAGAAAATTAAATAAAAGTGTGATTAAATCATGGTCAAACAGATAATTCTGCTCATATATGTAATAAATTAACCACAACCAACATTCAAAATGTAGGAGTTTATTAACATAACAAACATATTTCAGTAAAAATATCTTGAATAAAACTAATGAAACTCAACTAAACTAAACTACTATGCAAAAACAGGAAGGCTAAACATGGTGGGAAACCATAATCATTGAGATGTTGCAATGATACAATAGTTAAGTATGGATTTTATGTTTGACAAACCAAAGTTTGTCTTGAAGAATTGGAATGTAATTAAATGTGCTTTTAACTAACTTAAAGCAATTGCAATGTGTGCAAACCAATCCACAATGCAAATTCAATAGGCAAATAAACATTATTTGTCAAATAATATTTTATTAAATGATTTGCCTAATAAGAATTCAATAACCTTTAGTTAATGGGGATTCCCATGAAACGACTTTGGGTCATAATTTGGAAACCAAATTTTAATGTGCAGATGAAAAATCACATGAGCGTCACATAGGTGTTTAAACTGTTAGGGAAATAAAGCTTGTTCTAGCTTTATGAACAACAGATCAGACTAATTGGAAAATGTCCCTAACTGTGCCACACCTGCAAACTGCTGATTTTCATATGGAAGGATTGAGTTCGCTCCAGAATTTAGCAGAATACCAGCAGGCCACACACTTCAGGAGTCTTTCATTCCATGTGCCACACACCAGAGGAAGGGCTTCGTTGTTCTTAAAACTCCCATCTCCAGTCAGCATCTAAAAGTTCTGAAAGCTAAGAGAGAAAAGATGCAAATGCTCTGTTTTGAAGCAAGTTGGTTTCAAGTTAGCTATTAGGCCTGACTTAGCTTCTGGTCCTTAGCATGGGCTTTCCATGCTGGCATCTCTCCAATGTGAACTGGCCTCATATCAGTCCTAAAAGAGGAAGAAATCCTGTGTGGTATTTTCTGTCCGTTAAACACTATGGGGAGCAAAGGCACACCTCTGTAGGAGTGTCTTATGAAACTGCAGCTGCAGAGTGAACCTTTCATCTTCTTCACGCAATGAACCTACTTAATATAAAGCATGGACGTTGGTTCCCATTGTCCAAAATTATTATCATGGTTCGTGACACATGACCTCCTTGCTCTAATGTTTTTTTTAAAAGGCACTGCTGTAGAGTAACAGTTTCCATCCATGTAGCTGGCTTAACCCACACAGAGAAGAGACTGTGTGGGTTAAGCCAGACATCCTTATCCCTGGATATATTTTCTAACTCAGTATGGAGGATCTGGTAGGCAGAAATGTATTTCTGGACTAAATCAAGACTTTGATGGACCGACTAAAAACCATCTAAATGATGTCTGGTGTTTGGGGGATGGTTAGCTTAAAGAAAAGAAAAAAAGAAGAACGGTGATGTTTATTGTTGTTTGCTCATCTTATGGTCACTTTAAAGTGCAGAACATCATGTTGTTCATGTTGAATTAGGAAATTAACAATGTGATTAAAACAAAATGAAAAAAAACCCAAAAACTTTATGAGCAATTATTCTAAGGATGGAGTCGGTCATACTGTGATTGTCCTGTCTGAAATATGTAGTGGTGTTTGACGATTTGATGCCAGCTTTAGCTCAGACTTAGGAACACATGTTTGTTTTGCTGTTTAATTTATTGTCAGAAGCTAAAAAAATGTAAATTTCACAGATTATTTAGAAATGAAATAAATAATTGTATTTATTTGAATATATTTGAAATTCAACCTGCCATGATGGTCAATTCCATGTAACTCTAATGGCCATAATGGTAATAGCATTAAATATACACCTACAGCCAGAACATGTTAATAAATTGCATTTTTTCTAATTAGTCTTTCTTTTGTTTTTCTGCATTTTGCAGCATTTAAAACATAGCAATCAGAAAACAGAGTTGTGAACACATTTGCACTTGCTTCCAAACGTTAAATAATTTAATAAATTATTTATGACAAACAAATGGGATGGGGTGTGTGTGTGCAGATCTTGGACCTGCTGTGGAGTGACCCGATGAACCAGGACGGCTGCATACCCAACGAGGTGAGGGGTGGAGGTTGCTATTGGGGCCCAGATGTCACAGAGGACTTCCTAAACAGACACAACATGCAGCTCATCATCCGGTCCCATGAGTGCAAACAGGAAGGCTACGAGTTTTGCCACAACCGAAAGGTGAGTTCTGGTTAAAGGGTCAGTTCAATATGCCATCAATGTTTCCCAACTATTCCTTTAAATACAGTCAGTTCTGCCCACCTGCCATTCTACTAAGCTCACTCCTTTATTCACTTCTCCCAGGTCCTCACTTTATTCTCTGCCTCAAATTATTATGACGTGGGAAGCAACCGGGGAGCCTATGTGAAGTTGGGTCCAGACCTTGTGCCTTATGTTGTTCAGTATCAGGCCAGCAGCATGACCAGGGAACTCACCGCCAGGCAAAGGTAAGGAAAAAATACAGGGGATTATTCAGCCACAGCAAAGGGAATAGTGCAGGAAAGATGATTGTCAACATTCTTTTTCTAATTTCAGGAAGCTTTGTAAAGCAATTCATAAGCACAAATTTGGGATAGGAATAGGCAAAATGACCTTGATTCTCTTTGGATCAGGTGTGATAAGCGGAGTGTTTGGAGAAAGGAGTAAACAATTACAGATGGTTTATTGGAAACTTGCAAAATAAGGAAGGGACAGGGATAACAAACCTCCTGTCTTGCTAGATGCTTTGCCCTGTGAGTTTTGGCACATGACCTAATTCTGTAACAGCCAATTTTTATGAGCCATAGTTAATGTCATGATTGGTTCTAATCAAACCCACATGCAGAACACTACCAGGAGACAGATGAAAAGTTTAACAGAGTTTATTAAATGTTTGCACAAAATAAGACTGCGTTCAGGAAACAGGTCCAGGCTGGATTCTCAGGCGTCTGCAGAGATGACAGTTTGGTTAACCAGGTGGATAGGAAGCGTTGTTTAGTTTTCAGATTGTTGCAAACTATACCTTGGAGAGTTTCAGGCTTTCTACTCAGAGGGGGGGAACCGGTTGGGTCCAGAGACTGTTGGCTTGACAGAGTGTTCAGCAAGTGCAGCATCTAACTTCTGACTGTTGGATCAGACCTTGGATTGAGGGGTTAGCTCTCCTTCCGAGAGCAGCAGGTGGATTCCAAAGTGAGATCTTCAGGTTTGGCTCTCTAGGGCAGGCAGGCAGATTCAGGTTAAGCTCTCCCAGAGCTTCACACGAGAAACAGGTTTTCCTAGGAGCGACAAGACAAAGGCTGGTTAGAATTAAGTTTTCTCTAGGGGACAAAAATCAAAGATAAGGAGGCTCAGGTTCGCTAACCAAACTTAGCTAACACTGCGGCATCGAAGAAAGGTCTGGCATCTGCTTAAGTAGAGGGTCCTCTAATGGGCTGACGAGCTCCAGGTGTGCTGGTGAGCTCCAGCCCAGAGAACCCACGGCGCACTCTGCTGGGGAAAGGTGGAACAACTCCAGATCCCAACAGTTAAAAAAAGATATTAAAGCTAAACAAAAAACATTGCAGCCTCCAAAAAAAAATAATATTTAAGGTATAGGAATCAGTTTTCTTAACAGAGGAAAGGAAAAACATTTTGTCTGTCTGATAAATGTATTCTGTCATTTGTTGTACCCCTTCCATAAATTTAACAATTTCTATCCTTGTTATGAGTAAAACTGTTATGAATCCCAAACGGACTCTTACCTGACTGTAGTGAACAAATCAACAATTTATTTTTTTAGCCCAATGTATAAAACATGCAACTGATACTAAGAAACTTATTGTAAAGCACCTGAAGTAGTTTAAAACATATGATGAAAACATTCCCCATGTAAAGATGATTGTGTTTGAATCTATGTGTTCTCTCATGTCATCTGCAGTGTCGGGAGAACTGAACGTTCAGCCTTGAAAGTCCTGCGTGAACAGCTGTTTGCTCACAAGTCTGACCTCCTCTGTGCCTTCAAAAAGTTTGACACCGAGAACAAAGGTTTGTGTGTGTATGTGTATGTGTGTGTGTGTGTGGTTTTGGTTTCTTATATAGTGAATCAGCTTCAGCCAATCAGGTTCTAATTCTGTCATATCTGAAAGCTCAGCGTCTGATTCATGGAAAATCTGAAAGCAAATCTTTGTACCCTTTGTGCAGTGTTATAATAGACATTTATTAAAAATCAAATCTCGTGGGAGAACCCAAAGTAAGCCCAGAACATGGAGGATTGCTGACGCTGGATACATTTACAAAAAAAATCCTACCTAATATTAGTCACTTCTGTCAGATTTATTACATCTTATCGTATGTTATCATATATGCATTTGTTACCAAGGAGCAGATGCTGCAGTGATGCTATAGTGGAAATGAAACTGATTAAAATCTTTTTCCATCTCAACACTGATCTCTATCAGGCTTAGTGTCCCTGAACGACTGGGCCTCAGCTGTGGAGAGTGTTATGCACCTGAATCTGCCGTGGAGGATGCTCTGCTCTCAGCTTGTCACCTGCAGGTCGACGGACAGCATGATTTCATATTACGACTGGTTCAACGAGCTCGCCATCAAAGGGCCTAATACAGACGTAAGAGGCTCAAACAAAATCCAACATCTAGAGATTAAGGAGGAAATGAGACCTAAATAAGAATATTTTTTAAAGTATGATTAGGCATGTGTCCCATGTGTCTCATTTGGTTAATAATACTTTACAGCCAGGAAGGGTCAATCTTTTAAAAAGTAATACAGAAATAAATTACAGCTTCTTAATGTTCTAAAACTTTTTAAAAACTCAAATTATAATTTTTTTTGCCATATAGATTTAAAAGTAATTAGACAGAAAATGTTGCAAGATGCTTGTCTCTTGTTATACGTGTGTGTAAAGCTAAAATGGTTTAACTTTTTGATTTATTTCGATTTATTTTGTCTGACTGTGTTTTGATATTTTTCAGACTAAAAAAGGGGAGCAGGCAACATTTTTGCTTATATAATAGATAGCTAAAACCACTAACAGTGGGAGTTTAATAGTATATATATATATATATATATATATATATATATATATATATATATATATATATATATATATATATATATATATATATATATATATATATATATATATATATATATAAATATATATATAGTTATATAATACTATAATACTTCTAACAGCTGTTCAGTTCTAACTGTTCAGTTTACCGCTGAAACGTTGGTGGGAATGTTTTAATTAATGTTTAAAAGATATCAAAACACATTTTTTACTATTTGATAACAAGAGCATGTGTTAAGGATAAGGTCATACTATGCTACAAAACTATTTGTGGTATGATTTAAATAAATGCAAGGATTCAATTTTAGCTTTAAGTAAATTCGGGTTAGAGCTAAAAAGGGAAGATTATGTTTCCTCGTTTTTATTTTCAGTTCTGGATAGAAAAGGATTGAAAAATAAGCTGCTTGCATTAATGACCAAAAAAAAAAAAAAAAAGCATCTCAGAAAAAAATCTAACATTACCTGAAAAATTACAATATGCTGTGGGGAAATAATAGGTTAAACCCTTTAGAAACTTGAGAAACAGTTGGTAAAGATATGAGAGCCTGGCTCTTCAGGATGAAAATAATGAAGGATTAGAGAAGAGTATAAAAATGTGATTAAAAAGGAGGTGACCACTATTAGTTGTGCTTTCTGTTTCCTCTGACACAGCACATCGACCAGAGTCTGCTGGAAACTTTGTACCGCCATCGCTCCACTTTAGAGACAATCTTCAGGATTGTAGACACAGATAACTCAGGTAATATAATTTAGCATATTGGAAACAAATGAATTGGTTATAGGTTAATGTGAATAGCATTGTGAATAACTGGGGTGTCATGTGTGTTTAAATGGTGTCTCCTGAGCTTCTGTTAATCCACATGGAGTGTGTCAAAGATGTCACGGCCTCATGAATCCCGATGAGGATTAACCCACTGATCTTCTGGTCTCTTCCCCACTTCTGAACCGTGACAGGGTTTATCAGCATGGAGGACTTCCGGCAAACCTGGAAGCTCCTGAGCGTCTACCTGAAGATGGAGATCACAGACGAAGACATCTGCAACCTGGCTGTGACCATTGACAGCAACCATGATGGCACCATCGACATTGATGAGTTCATGGAGGCCTTCCGGCTCACGGACAAGAAGAGCCGGTTAGAGCGGGGCCGCAGCATGTTCATGGGCACGGCATCGGACCTCAAGCTGGAGGAGGATCCCAACGTATGACCTGGAGCCTGAAAAGGAACTCCACAGTGCAAGCGGCTTTGGTGACGCACACGGCGATGAAGGATGACGCTGAGCAGCATCTGCTGCGTGGATTACAGGGATAAGATGGAGCGCAGTCTGCTCAAGCACCGTGTTTGTTGACGGAGGTTCATCTCAGCAAGACTGAGACAAAACAACGGTTTTTCAGTAGTTACAAAATTGGAACAATATGATATTTGGACTGTGTAATAAAATTAAAAAAAAGTGTTAGAATTCTTGAATTTCTTACAAAAAAAGATGTTAATTAACCATGTGAAACCAAATTGTGCACATTTATTGACACCTCTGGTAAATATTTGTATATAGCCTTAAAATAAATTCATGTTTTGATGTGAAATAAGACTTCTCTAATAAAATCCCAACATTAATTTGATTACATTTGGTGAAGTGGGAGATAAAACGGAACTGAAAGCCTAATGTTAAACATCAGTTGCTGTCGTATTTATTTGATTTTTTTTTAAATAAAATATCCGGTACAATGATTATTTACACCCATAAAATGACATGTAATGTTTATGTCCGTCTTTTGTTAAAAATTATGAAAGGTTTCATTTTGAGTAAACAATTGGGTTCAGTACCACTCAGGTATTGAGTGCAATGCTCATCTTTGTTCAAAACAGAAAAGACAAGATATCATGCCATTTCACAAGCCAGATGTTTATTTACAGTATGTCATCAAATGTATCCACTGTGAGACCAATAAAGTCAATCAATCAATCAATCAATCAATCAAATTACATCAAGGAAATAGGTACTTTTCATAAATTGTACACCTTTATTATCCACCGTATTAAAATGTTTACTGTGATTAGTCACTTTGTATTCAGAGATGTTCACTGGATATTCAGAAAAAAAATTACAGCTTACTTAGCAGCCTTAAGGTCACTTTCCAATCTACTTGCTGTACATAAAAAGCATATGGTGTAGAATGCTCTTTGTGAGAACTTGTGGGTCTTTCCATCTCTGTAAAGAGGTGATACGTAGTGCTGTGCATATTTTTTAGGAACACATTTATACTTGTGTTTGAGGGAAAACAAAAATGGAAATAAATTATGACTGGGTAGTATGGCCAATGGTAACCAACACATAAATTAACAAATCCCAATGGTTTTCCAACTTTCAGCTATAAGCACCTAACTTGGGTTCCTTAATTAAGTTCATACATCAATTCAAATAGAGCATCGCATGTGACTGCAAGCTGACTCAAGGATATGATACTACCAATAAGTAAACAGGGTGGTGATGGTGAGGAGGTAAAAGAAAACAAACTGCCACATAGGTTCGCCTCTTCAGGTCACCAAGATGTTAGAAGAGGCTATTTTTTATGCAAATTGGTTGTTAGGAAGGTATGTTAAGACCAAAGCTTTTTTCACTGGATCATCAAACTACTTTTGGTCAGCTAAACTAAACTTTAATAAGAAGCATTTGCTTTGATCAAATAAAACCATTAACAAACATTGCAGAAAGGTCTTGATGAAGAGCGCACTTCATGCCCACTCCTAGTGTAGGCGTGGTGGAGGATATGTCATGTTGTGGGTCAGTTACTCTTGCAAGAGCCCTGGGAATCTGGTCAGAGTGGAGAGCAACACAAACATAAACATTTCAAAACTGTGCATCTTAGTAATGACCCTTTTTCACAAAGTAATAAGAATTTCAACAATCCCTCAGAATGATATTGTAAAAAAAAAAAAAAAAAGAAAAAAATTTAGACTTTAGGTATTTGGTTGCATCCTCGTTGCTGAAGATGGAATTGTCATTGAAATTAATTAGATCATCCTCTCAGTACCTTTAATGTTTACTTTAGCAAATTTTCCCTTAACAATTTAAATAACCCAAACCTTATTTAAACCATTTTGTTCTTCGTAAACATTAAATCCTAGACAGCAAACGTTTATTTAGAAGTCATAATTAATCCCTGTTATTAACACATTACTAAACGTTATTAACACATAAGATGTGTTTAATAACAAGATGAATGTGAACCTAGAGGCCTAGTTATGTTCTATGCCCATAAAAATACCCGAAACTATTTGTCATATTTTAATAATTGGTCATGCATTCATCCTGATAGTGTTCACTCCTTTTTGAGCCTCAAAATATTTTTTGTACCTGGTCCCATAAGCAGACCTAGATATTGTTGAACAGTATGCTGTTGCCATCTGCTGGCAGTACTAAAGGCTCCCACGCATCTGCACAGACATGCTGTCATGAACATATGTGCAGAGTCCTAGATGTCTTGCTATACTGCCCAACCAGAGATCTTCTTGCCAATAACAAGTATTCATTATATGTTTAAGATAGTTCTCAATAATGAATGTTAAAAGATATATTTTGTCCAATGAGACTATAAAGCTTAATATCACCACCATAAAATGTATGCTGATAACTTTCCACCTCTTCAGTGTAAATATGGTCTATGGTCTAAATATGGTTTATTTTCTGAATTCTGACTGAATTCTGACAATAAAAAAGTCAGAATTCTTAGATTAAAGTCAGAATTTTGAGATTAGAGTCAGAATTCTGAGAAAAAAAATCAGAGTTCTGAGATTAAAGTCAGAATTCTGAAAAAAAAAAAGTCAGAATTCTGAGATTAAAGTCAGAATTCTGAGAAAAAAGTGAGAATTCTGACTTTTTTCCCATACTAAACTGAAATAAATTTAAAAAATCACTTAACTTTTTTTTTTCCAGTGGCCCTTATCCTCTTCCGTACAATTGAAACCTCAGCCCTAACCCTATTAAGGTTATTTTGTTTCGAAACTATTTGTGCATTGTAAGTGTGAATTTGAAGTTGTAGAGAGAGTTACATTCTAAGTTTTGTATAAGTACAATTTTTTTTTACACCTGTTCAAATTTTAGTACAAGTACACAAATTCTGTTCTACAAGTTCCAGATCATAAACCTCTTACATTCTCAGTTTTGCTTCAAATGGTTCAGAACTATTGTTACAAAACTATTTATGCATTGTAACTTTGGTGTCTTGTAACTGTAGATTTTTTTAATCTGTCACAATTACTAAAAAATAGTTAAACCTCTTCAAACTTGAGTCATTATGTATTTTTTAAGAAGATTTTAATACACGTGTATGAATTTGTTTTGCACCATTTGTTTTAGATCAACTGCAGCAAAACTGAATGGAAGACTTTTTTGATGTGCAACTCAAAGAAAACAATTTGTGTACTGGTACTCAAGAATTTGAAGAGGTGTGACTTTTTTTTAATTGTGACAGATTAAAAAAAATCTACAATTACAAAACACCAAACTTGTGATTTTTTTTTATTCTACAACTTCAAATTCACGCTACAATGCACTAATAATAGTTATAAAAGAAAATAACCTTACTACAGAGATTGAGGAAACTCTGGAAAAGTCAGAGTTTCCCTGTTTTCAGGTTTAGACAACTTTGTGTTTTTGGTAAACCTGCTTCATGAAACGGACCCCTGGTCTTTTTTGTTTTTGTTGTTGTTCTTGTTTTGTTTGGTTCAAATTGTTAATTTTAAAGAATAATGGTTTTCATGAACATAAAGTAAAACATTATTCATAATCGCCAGTAGAGGGCGCCATAGCCAAATAAGTATTTTACTTAGTATTGTTAAAATGTGAGGCTCACAATGTTAGAAAAATTGTTAATTTTCCATTGTGAAAGCGACCAGGATGTCATTTTTTTAAACTCTGCCAAGAATCTCAGGAAATGCTTTCTTAATTATTTTTTTCATTTTAAACTCCACAGTGTGAGACAGTGTTAGTATTATACCTCCAGACCCTAACAGCAGATCAAGGGCAGCTCTTAATTTTGAAGTTTATAATTGTATTAATCCCTAAATGACCTCATATTTCAACTGATCAACCCTCATGAGTATTGAACAGAGCAGTTTAAAACCTGCAGACTGCTGCATGAATTCAGAACAAACTGGAATACTGTTGCACAAACAGTATTCCAGTACTGTGACAGTTGATTCTTTCACAGTACAAACACTCATCAGAGGGAGCAGAGTTCACATTCGTGAAGACGAGTAAAGCAAGAGTTACATTATCTAACAATCTGCATTATAGAGGAACAGGTCATGCAGTTTTTCACAAACACCCAAAACACAGGAAATCAGCATTTTTAACATTTTATGTGAAATGCAGATGAGGCACAGAAATCTTGGCAGAGTTAGACATCTGGCAGGTTTGAACATGTTCAAACACCATCGGCCTCATGCATTCTTCTTTATATGAATCAAAGTTTGTCATCGAAGTGGATGAAATTCACCATTTAATTATATAATCTAAAAGAAGATGTTTAGTGTATTTGATCAAAATGAGAGCAACCTGTAATTTTTAATGTTCTATATTCTCAATTCAAACAAACAGAGATGTCAGTTTTTTTTCTATTCTGATATTCCTCTAAATCTGTGGTGATCAGGCCAGGGACCTGATTTACTATGTTTACATACGCACGAAATGGGGCATGAAGCTTGAGCGTAAAACTTTCCACACAAAGGTTGTGATCTATAAAAGACAAACTTTGCATGGAAATGTGTGGTCTCTCACACTAACTCTGGCATATGGGTGTGCACACTATGAAAGAAAGGGAAAGACAAAATGGTAAGGTAAAGAATTAAATTCTCTCAGGCATTGAATTTTTCTTTAAATAAGATCACAGAAATCATCACAAGCATCCAATATCACATTGTACCTCCGCCTCAAACTGGTGAACCATAGTGTAACTATACATGAATACTAAAAAGTGCACACTATATTTCAATAATTTCTCAACATCACATCTCTCTTCTCCATGATCATCGGTGAGTCATACAACAAATCAATACATAAATGTAACCAGGTATGTGGTTTTCACACTGACAGCTGTAAACATTTATAATATTGTTGTGACACTAGTGCTTATTGGTGCTGCTCTGCATTACGATGCTGGAAAGATGAGAGAATTAGGAGGGAAGGAATTTTCAGGGATCACTGAC